GAGTGTTCCCTTGCGGAATCTCACGATGTAGGCGTTGAAGTGCTGCCTGGTGAAAAGTTAGTTGATCTAGATTATGCGGACGATATCGTCTTGCTTTTCGACGATGTTGGGGCGGCACAATCAACCCTGAATAGTCTGTCCAGAGTGGTCCCATTATTTGGTATGCACTTCGCACCTTCAAAGTGCAAAGTGTTGCTGCAGGACCACCAGCCACTTGATGACCCCGTGACCCTTGTTAACGAGGAGCTCGAGGTGGTTGATCAATTCACTTATCTTGGCAGCTGCATCAGCAATGATGGGCGCATAGAAACTGACGTGAGCTCACGCATTGCAAAGGCCAGAGCTGCCTTCTTGATCCTGTGTCACCTTTGGCGACAGAAGGGAGTTTCCCTCCGTCTGAAAGGCCGTGTATACAAGGCCACAGTGAGGGCCGTTCTGCTCTATGGTAGTGAAACTTGGCCCCTTCGGTCTGAAGATCTGAGGCGCCTTCAAGTCTTTGATCATCGTTGTTTGCGAAGCATTGCTGGTGTCGGATGGCACCAGCGTGTCCGCAACGATGATGTGCATAGGCGAGTACTAGGTGGTGATAATCATGCTGGTTCCCTGGAACAACAGATAGCACTGAATAACTTGCGTTGGCTCGGGCACGTGCTACGCATGCCTGGTCACCGCTTACCTAGGAGGGCCTTGTTTAGTCTACCAGGTGTAGGATGGCGCAAGGCTCGAGGTGGACAGAAGTTGACTTGGCAGCGGGAAATGAAGTCACTGACAACTAAACTGGGTGCCGTTGGTCCGTCTTGCCTGCCGGGCTGGAGTCCACGTGACTCGCCTTGTGCTTGGCTCAAGAATTTAGAGGACATGGCTCGCAACCGACACCAGTGGCGCGTCTGCTGCCGTCTCCTAATCGGATTGCCTGTTTAAAGTGTGTTTGGTGCTGAGCTATCTGCGGGGTAATGGCTGATTATGACGCGTGGTAGTGAAAGCCGCAAGGAAGCTGCCTCGCCGATGCCGCCTTATCTTTGCACGATAGCCAGCTGTTTGTGACGGTATGTTGTCTACACAAGGTGTAGGCGCCTTGACCCTGAATGTTTGCTTAAAGCATTAAGGTTTTCAGGTAGGTCCCCCTTCTCTCCTTATTATTCTTTATTTCATAGGTCCCCATGGTTGTATGGCAGCGAAGCATCAGTTAAAATGGCTGATGTACTGCTGTTGATGATGATGATGCTCGTACTTGGAACTATCGACGATTGAGCATTACTGAAACCGACCGCTTATTGTTTGGCAACAGATCTTCCGGTACCGTGTTGAACTCCAGTGAACTCAAGTCATCCCCGCTGGCTGCATCACCTCGTCCGCCTGGCTCAGTCGCTTCCGCGTTAGTTAGTCGCTATTTTTGCGCCTAGTGGGATGAAACTTAAAGTAGCTATTCACTGACCTAACGCTGTTTAACGAATGGTCAAGTCCAGTTACTGAATGGAGTCTTCGTTTCCGGCGGCCACGATACAGGTCGCACTAGTAGACTAGGTTCTATGGATAACAACGCATGCACAAAACCAGCCGCAGTTTTGTATTATCTCCTTTTCTCTGACCCTTTATTACTGCATCTAACGAATATGCTTTTTGTCCGTTCCCATTGATCTATCATTAGTTATCATGATTACCTTTTGTTGCCACTAGTACGACTATTATGATTATTATTTAGTAACGCTTGCTTATACGGCGGGATCCACTGCACCTCGGAGCACGGGTTATTGTTAAACACGACTTGACAAACTCTAAGCTGCAATTCTGACTTGAACTCAGTAGGATGGGGCTTGTTCGATTCCGATCCAAAATTAGTGGTCTGCTTTTCGAACAATCCTCATAGTTACGGGCATATGAGTCGGGGTATTTTCGCAGAAGTCAAATAATACCACATCCAATTAAGGACAGTCTGTTGACAGTTTTGGTAAGGTATTAGTCGGGACGGAGTTTCAAAAGAATCTAGCCCACTCAGGTGAAGTTAACCGAGCTGGAGAACAATATTCGCAGCGTGAAATAATTCAAAGGAGTAATTGATTGAAATTGCGCTTCCACATCCACAGACTGTCCCTTCGGTCTCGGTTAACCTGTTTCATAAATTTATCAGCCCAGTGTTAAGGTTAAATACACGGGGGTCGTTCGACAGTTTCCCTGGCTGACTCTTAAAATTAATCAGTATACAAATGTAAATTCGATTATTTTTCAACATAAAACAACTTGATTTTGAGGGTCATTTTGAAGTACATGTTGTGGTGTTCCGTACTTCATGCATGATTATCATAATATCCTCGCTGCAAAAGTCCGTATTTTGCTCCTGTATGCACGCCTCTACAGCTGCGATGACGTGAGTGTCAAACTCAAATTTATGCTACAAAAGTTAGCCTTGTGAAGATAAAACGAATAAAATTCACTGGGAGGAAGAGCTGGAGGCTAAGATGCATATTTAGACAATCCGAATCCTGATTCATTAATTCCTTCCAAGGTAACGCGCCAGATGTGACTGGAAGCATTGTTTTCAGGAAGCAGAATACCTTTTCGCAAGCTACACCGCATCTTTACTTTAAGGGCCTCCCGAAGTTGTCGAATTAACCCTTTATATTATTCATCAGCTACTGTGGGCATTTGAGCCAGACATTAACTTATAAATATTCCTTTGACGTATCAGAAAATTGAAGTCATGTCCTTGCCAGTTGATGATGAGGAACGGAATTTCTTGGGTGGTGGTGGATTAATGTGTATCTACACAGTGCTCTGCCTTTTGGCTTCCAGATCAACAAGATTGATCCAGGTTTCGTCCGTAGTCATCATACGAAACCGGAAGTTTATCTGCTCCTCCTGATGGGAACTCAGATTGGCTTGGCATTATGAACACCATATTTCACCTGCTGAGCTGTTGATATTCGAGACATCCGTTGATCACTGACTTTTATTAGCTTCAAAGTATCCATAAAAATAGAACGCACACTACCAGTTGAAACACCACAGACCATGCTGTTGTTTCCACTCTTTTTTTGCTTAAATTGATGGTACTGTCAATCTACTCAACCTTTTCTTGTCACTGACGTTGGTAATTACCCACAACGGTCAGCATCTTCACATGACTCCTTACCGCAATTAAACTCCAAACGCCTTCTGACCACGGTTGAATAGGCAGGTTGTACTTTCTCCTAATATTACTGACAAAACCCTGCGGATTTCGTGTGGAGCCATTCCCCGTAGCTCTTTTCTCAAATTTGTTAATTTCCTCCATTGTCACACAGTGACTTCGAGAATGATTTGTTTAGGATTTCACTTAAGATCTCACAATGAATCAAATTTATTATATACCAAAATTACAAAAAACAATGATCACAAAGTTGTCAGTCTACGAAATTTTTAGACGTCTTTCGCCCACTGTCCTCTCTCCAGCAAGTGTACTCAGACCATAGAGATACTGAGCATTCATGCATTCGTTTGCTACGTGAATAAATTGCAATGCGTGGTCTCAAAGTGGAATGCCATTCGCATTGAAGTGAACCCTAGTCACTGCCTTTGTTTACTTTCACTGTAATTTTGAAGCAACCGTTCCCGTATCTCAGAGATTGCGTTTCTCCGTTAGATTCTCGTCATTTTGAGGGAATATGTCATGCTTATCAACAGAGAACGATGGTATTTTGCCAGTGAGTAATCACTACTTGACAAGTTTCGTGGTGTCATCTGGATGAGAAATGCAAACAAAAAGATATGTTTAAGCAAAACTAACCGGTTGCAATTTGAGTGGTGAGGAGATGATTTGCTATTTGCATGGGAGCAGGTATATTAAATCCATCGACGAACTACGAATGTGGGAAACTTGGATTTGAATGTCCACCTACAGACCAGCGTATGAGGTTGTTACAACTGCTCATTTGTGTGATGAAGATGGGAGCATACATCGACTGCGATACTTTTCACACATCCGTGTGTTATGTAATTCTAGTACGTATGGACCATTGAGAGATGTTCCAAACTCTCGCAGTTTGAATAACCAACCTCAAGGAACTGATAGACATTTTCCATTATTTTTTGAAGATAGCCAATGTCGAAGCAGAAACATTTGAGTTTGGGCAGCTTACCACGGATGGCCGATCCAAAAGGAGAATTGTTTTCGTCAGCACGCTAGACTGCCGTATCACTCATTCAGTTTCATCTAGTTGCCTTTGAGGTTGGTTGTATGACTGCGAATCAATAATCGGTGACACATGTAACTTGGATCGCTCAGTATTTGGTACACAAATATGAGTTCATTTCACAACCGTATGAAGTGTGCAGTCAAAATCTTGATCGTCTTCCACTTCAGGTATCACGGAAGGCCGTGCGAGCTTTTTACGTTTTTCGTCGCCCAAACATTGAGAAGCTGGTGGAACAGATTGTTCGGTAGTGATCAGCTTGATCTGGTTTAACATAAAATCAATACAGTTAGAAGAATGTGTGTTCTTGATACTGTACCGTGGACTGTGGCACAAATTTGTGGTAAATTGGCGCATGTGTATTGCACTCAGTTTGATTGCAGAAATGGAATTCAAGTAAGCTAACGATGTACTCCTCTTCACGCATACCAGAGATGTCCACAGTACAAAGCGGATGAATCCATAGCTGTTTTTGAGAACTGTGCTTATCGTGATATTTCGATTTTTGTCTTGATATCATCAATCGAATCTCAGTTTTTCGGTCCCCGTCATTGGCCCCGTGCCCCTGTCTCCATGCCCAAAGCTGTCCATGTCGGCGTAACTGTCCAATCAGGGATAAAGGTGTCTGATCGATGTAGCATTATTGGCCATAGACGTGAAAGCGATTGTATGGATACCAACCTCTTTTTAGTTGTCTACTTGTGATGGGGTATAACCCGCCTAGTTGTAAGCGATAGCACAGTCCAGTCAGTTGTTTCTCGCCATGTTTTTGTACTTTCACCTTATAACCTGGCGGTAATGCCGATGCCCTTGAACTTTCTACACGAGCAGCTTCTAGTGGAACGTTTGGATGGACTACACGGAAACTGGAATGAAGTGCTGCAGTTGACAAAATCTAACCGGGATCAACTAGAGCGGAGGCTGATAGGAAAACAAGACGAGCATCCACTGTCAACTGCCACCACAGGACCTGCTCTGAGCGACAAGGCCACCGAATCAATTAATACCGCGCTGGCCGAGTTCGACCCACTCACAAACCTGGACTCTGGAGGTGCCGAGGTGGATTCACACACGAACGGGTCTTCTGTCGCGCCCAACCTTGTCACGCAGTCAAGCGTCATTGTCGGCACAACACCAGTAGCCACCAGAGTCACCGCATCGCCGAAATCGGCAAAGAACACGACCCACCCACCAGGCGTTTTGGAGATTGCACCAAAGTTAGTGGTTAACCTTGAGCAACTGGAACAGTGGATGACGAACGCAAAGAATCACCTTGCCAACTTTGTCAACGTGGAGACTCAGGACAAACTGGAATCCATGAAATCTGTAATACAGGTGAGTCATTGTCGGTATAAATGGCTTCCCCACACTACATATTTTTTTCATTACTGTTCAACTCCAGTTATTAGGGCTACATTAAGCGGTGCCAGCAGTAACATGGCTAACTTCCTAATTTAAGGTGGCAGTTTCTTCAAATCTCTTGTTATTTTATCGAGCTCTTTTAATAAAGCCAGTACCGAGCATTGTGTCTGATCCGAAACATGCGTCGAATTCACTCCACTTTTACATATATATATATATATATATATATATATATATATGACGTCTTCATCTCGTTTTATCCACCCAATCTTCCCAGGTCACAGTGGTGCATTTATCGGTGTGCGTTGTGTTAACCTTATCGACGTGTTGTTGAAAACCCCTCACGGGAGTTTTGATTACTACATTGTTTATGTAAACTTATCGCCGGTAGTATTTTCAGTTTTAATAGTTTCACATTCTTAATGACGTTTGTGGGATTGCTATTCAGAAAACTCAATGATTTTATTTTTTTTTAATCCGTGTTGTTGTAGCGTGGTGTTCCGGTGTACCTTCATTGTTTTTACACGCGCGAAAGGGAAGTCAACAAATTGAATGTCGAATATCCCCATTTCATTTTTTCGAACGGATTTAGTGTACACCTGTAGACTGTGGCGCGATAGCACTAATTTTACTACGTGGTTGTCCACACAGTTACTTTCGTATAGTGTTTTCCTGATTAATTCTGAGTAGATGAGCACTGTGGAAACTATATTATTCAGAATTAAGTACTTACAACATATGCACATTAATTCAGAGAGCTGGTGTTGTTCACAGTCGCTTGGGGCTATCTGGAACCGATTGGTGGCGAATTGATTCAGTTACTTGTTCCGTGATCTATGAGACACCAGCCCGAGTCTTCATGGGTGCGTGCGATCTCACAGTATGGAATCCTGCACATAAACGCTGGTGGTAGTGCAGCAACGATTCGTCCGTGCACTAACTCTTCTCAATGTCCATACCTTTACCCCATATTTGAATCTACACTAACCTCGTGGTACCGATGACTCCAATTCAACTGTCACCCAGACGTGTCCCACGGTATTCTGACCTTCATTCGCATTTCTGTATATCTTGATCTATCAGAATCCCATCAGTTACGTGGTGGAGACTATACTGCTAAAACAACGTAGTCTTGTTTCTTCCTACTGGCTTCGGAGGAATATTATGCTGGCTTTTTGAACTTTACTTTTCATGGGGAGGTCATTGTTATCTGCGTGCGGTACACATGAGGTTGCCTTATCTTAGTCACATTACTTGTTTGTGGCTGAATGCTTCTACTATACAACGTTGATGCTTTGACTAGCGCCACACGGCCCAAAACTCACAATTACTAATAAACCTGGCCAGTGATTTCGTACCGGATTTTAAACTATTTGCTGTATTTCTTACTCGGTTTGGTTTATGGCTACTTGGAATTTGCGTATAAATGCACCACTCCCTCCGGGAGACAAATTCATTTGCCTCTTCATTTTTGTCTGGTGTCATACAACCTGCAATCTTCATATCTTTTTAGCAAAGTGCCCAACGAAATCACCCTACGTTTCTCCCCTGCAAGATTTGGCTGACACTGTATTTCTCCGGTAGACTTTCGGCGTTTCTTCTTATCACTGTGTCCGAATATCCTGGGGATCTTGAGACAGTAGCGTGTAACACTACCATGTCTTGTGTATCCTAGGGGTGCAAAGCGGATGCATACGCTTGCCATGAGTTAACTTAGGAATCCAGATCTCATTTCAACGCCCGTTTATACCCCAGGTGTGTAGGTTTTGAATGGACTACTTTCCTTTGCTGGACTGATTCACTCACTTAGTTGAGTGCACCAAATGGAAGCACTGTCTGACTGAACTCAAGCATAGCGTTCAGTAGTGCAGGCATTTTCCGACTACAGGGATACCTCAGGCCATGGATCACAAGCGCATCTGAATGGAAGTTACTTCAATGCGAAATAGTGGAAAGTCACGAAGAACCATGATAGACTGCTAAAATAAACGCTCGTGTCTGTTTACTCTACAGTTGCTGATTAGTGACGACCCAGAATGGAAAGTGTCCACTAAGTATGTATCGCTCAACCCACTTCCAAACAGTGACAGCAACTGTCCACAGTCAAATGCTTGTAGCAAATACGCACTGACTAAAATGTACAGAATTCGGATCTTCTGGTCATTATCACCATGCCCCGTGCGTGAACCGATTCTCTACTCGCACTGCATTTTTTCCACTCCTCACCAACTTGTACGGAGCAAGTAGCGTTCCGTTAGAGTTGCTCTACTGGCATATTTAGGGTGGTGGGGCTCAGTGTCCATTTTGGCAAAGTGAACGTGCAAAATGGGCAACATTCGTTTTAAAATTCACCAGCCGAAAATCCCCTTGGCTTATGTGTACCAAATTGATTGTCCAAATTCTCCGCTCCTGTAGCAGGATCGGACCGGCAGCAATACTCCGCAGAGAGCAAAGCAACCTCGCACATTAATAATCGGACAAGACGCCGCGAAACGGTGGATGAAGTGCCCCAACTGTGGTCTTCGCAAACTGACCGCGTTTTACGAGCTGATTTTCAAAGCTACAACGGTTACATTATAGAAGGTTGTTCTTAACACGCGTCATTCATGAAAGGCAATATGTCACATATGATTATTTTGTTTGTTTATTGTAAGCACCGGCCATGTGTCTAGGTATATTATATGCCAATGGTGAACCAGAGATTTGCGACATCAACTGCACCACTCCATATTCATTTTGCATTCTGTCGCATTGTTGGTTATTTCTTCCAACTCGTGATTTTAATATCTAAGGTTTGCGACCGTCACGAACCATTGTACTTTCTTGATGAAATGAGCTTGCTAATTGATTTCTTGTATACTTCCGAAAATACTGTGCCGGAAACCGAAATGGGCCATCTATTTCTAGCCAACACGCTGTTCAAAATGCCAGTTCCACTGGCTTGTACATTTCGAATTCCACTTCTTTTCCGTGATTAGATAGCAACAGAGTCTAGATGACTGACAGAGACATATACTAACTCATACTTGAAGCATGATGAAACTAGGTAAGAGATGGAACACATAAAAACATCAATTTGTCCATGCTATCTAGTGAGCAACCAGTGCAATTTTGGCGAGTCATTGGTGGTATGTTTGGTTTTCTCTTCTGTAAGACAGTACTGCCGCCACAGATGAACGCTGGACGGAAGACAGTAAACAGAGTGAAAGCAAACCTCGACGTTAGTTCGTCGACCTCTGGCAGTAGGTTTTTACCTGAGCCCGTATCTGTCTGTGCACTATAAATCAAACGGTTACTTTTGAACCAGATGATAGTTTAAAGAGGTTTTTCGTCCATCAGAAGTGTCCAGCTAAATGCTGAAAGCACACGAGCAACTGTAGACACAGGAAAATGATATTTAAAGGAAGGGGCATTTTCTATTACGTCTAGCTAAAGAATAAATGGATCATCGAGAAACGGTATGTGAACTCCCGTTTCAGGGGAGAAAGTGAGAGTTGCAAAGAGTAAATTGTCGCTGATTATTTTACCTTACGCCACATCATCGTATTTTTTAGGCTGGGCACTCTTCTGCTTCGGCGGCTTAAATGAAAATGGATGGGCACCTATTCGAACCGTCGTAAGTGGCGTCCGGCAGTCATACATCGATTCAAGCGGTTCATTCCTATTTCAGCTCAACTGCCTTTGAGCTGACATCGTTCGGTCAATACAATAACAACACATTTCTTTAAAACTGACTGAGTACTGTGTTTCTGAGTACTTGAAAGATGCCATTTATACTAAAGATACCATTGCTTTTCCACATGCGACGTAACAAACACAGACGCTGACGCAGGAGATTGCCGAACGGCGTCACGTACTTGGAGCTCTTGACACACACACGGCTGTCGACATCAACAATGAATCGTTGACGGAAACAGACTCCATGTTAATGAGAGCGCACTTCGCCGATCTGGAGTCCGCCTTATCTGAAGAGCGTGAGCGTCTTCGTGGAGCCTTGTACTACTTGGCCGATTTCAACAGTGAGTTTCTTGAAGCAAATGGACCGCCATTCCGCATGATCGATGAGCTGCACTACTTTGGTATTTTTACAATCGTGGTAAAGTGTTTCTTGCCATTCGGCCGCCCATACCAAGTTAACGTGAATGAAATTTTGTGGTACAGTAGCCTTGCCATTGGATGTTAATGAGATTTGCGCGCAGTAAAGTTGATTCAGCAGGTGGATCAACACATTTCTATTTTAGATGGCTGTTCTCCTGTAAATATCTAGCCCCGCGTACTAGTTTACATGAACCCAAAATTCTGTTATGCCCGAAGTGGTGTTTAACAGCGCGCTAACCGATAACCGTACGAACCTTTTCTCTTTTGTACCTAAAAATAACACGGCAAGGCGTCATCGAACGCAGCCAGGTTTTCGCACCCTTCGATCCATGAACACCTCGTTTTACGTGGGATAGACACCGGAAACTAAATCGAGGAGTTTATTTATTCGGTTCGTTTTGTAAGCTTTTACTCCCCGGACGTTACTTCATCCTTTCTGTTATCAGAACTGCGTTCTCCAACATCCCGACCACTTTAATTGGTTGGTAGTGAATAGCACTAGATTTATGCGGTTGCATGGGTGCCACAGCTGTCAGCTGACAAGCCTATTCCATTTTCTGAAATCATGCCAGCTATCTGTAAAATTTAACCAGTTTATGAATGAAAGCATAGTCACTTCTCACCTAACGGCGAAAGTGCCACACCATTTATATGACTTATGTCTTTGGTCTAATCGCACCATCTATGACGGGCTCAGTGCCTATGGCATATCCGTCTGTCTTCTCTGAACGTAAAGACTGGTTTGCATTTACGTGAAGTATCCAACATGAAAGATACAACCGGGCATGTTAGCGCTTCGATCATTCACCTAAACCAAGTGCAAATCGGGTGTTTCCTTCACTCGGAGTGCGTAAAACATGTGGTATTTAATTATAAACATTGGCATGCATTCGATAGCAACGCTGCCGTTCTAGTCGTCTAGATTTACGTCATTGAAGGGGATTCTCGGCAGATGAATTCACAACTTGCGCCTTATTCTACTAATGAACTTAGCGTGATTACTCACTGGATGGTGTTTGCTTTTGATCCGCGATTCATATGATACTGATCAGTACTGCAATGCCAGCACTGAAACATTTCCTGAGTTCCCATTGATTGACTACAAACTGTCAGGCTAAGGATAGTAATAACCTTTAGACACCGTTGTATGCCTTACTATTTGAACCCACTGCTGCCCTTGAATACAGAAGTGTATAAAATTTTTACATCTGAGGTAAGACAAGAAGCAAGAATCCACCGCCATTGCAAGGCAATACGAGCAACTGGCTGCCACAACCCGGTTTTCAATGTCTCTGATTACTTGGCGTTAGCAGAGTGGTTGATTCCACTTTCCAACAACCTGGGCTAATCTGGTATCCCTGTTCTGGTCTCTGTCTGCTATCTGCGTTCGGCACTAACTTTGATGCCGAGTTTGTTTTCTGCACATACCAGGTTGATGCTAGCTTCATCAGCTAACCTGGGCTCTCCTTTCCGAAGTTTTCATGAGCACGGTCTTCTAGACATATAAATTAAGGGCTTGCTAAAAGGCAATGAATGAAAGGGGACGCTTTTATGATACTTTGTAAAACAGGTAATTGTTGGCCGCTCTCCATGTACAATGTTCACAAAGTGTGCTAGATAGGATTATGATCAGCATTCGTTTTCTGAAGATTCCTAAAACGCTGCACAAAATGAACTGTCTGTAAGTTGTTGCCAACTTAATTGCGTAGCGTTTAGTTCGCTTACTCGACTGACCTAAAGCTCTCCTTGATTAAGTTTTCTCCAGTGCAAATTTCACTCATGTATGTCTATTGGAGCCAAAGAATCACCTAGATACAACATGATCCCACATATCTTGGGATGGAAGGTACTCTCGGCTACTGAATTGAGGTAGTCCCCATTGGCTTGGTCAAACTGATGAACCGGAGTAACTTCGTCCAATTACCTTGCGATCTATATACCACCAATTCGTTTTGATGCGTGTTTTCTGCACACCATGAATAAGTCAACTGTGCATTTGGGGACGAAGATATCCTGAATATCCGGGGTAGGGGAATTCGCAATCGAATCCACGCAGTTCGAATAAACATGTGTTGACAATGCAGAATTTATGGCAGTCCTGCCATTTGATGACGGTAGTACATACTAGTGATAGTTACCTGATACTTTTGTGCTATCAAAGATAGGCACTGTAACACAAGCCCTCCGAACTCGAATGCTGTGTGATTACGAACTTTGTTTCCCGAGACCATCGTTAAGTTAGTTTAGATAGATTTCTAAGGCTGTTCTTCACATCAGCACTCAATCAGAGACCCACTGCACCTTTACGAATACCGCTTGGATTTTTCGGGGATCGTCAGCTGTGCGCATTCCATCTATCCGAACAGAGACTGCAAACTGCCACTCACTTCTATCGAGGAAGTGACTAACACGGCCACAGACCACAAATGATGGCAGCAATCGCCGTCATCAAGTATGCTGGAAAGGTAGAGACGGTATTTTGTTCGTCGCAATCAGGTAGAGACGGTAACTGAGGGGATCAGCTACTTGAGAATCCAAGTGCGAATCTGAACCCTTAGCCCCGGGTAATAAAATAATTGATGGTGGAAAACCGCCGGCCATACTGACATTTGTGCATTTATACGGTCAAGTAAGCAAAATTGCTTCCCTCGTGGCATCTTCTTGAGCGCTGTTTGTCATTCAAAATCAGTTTTGCTCGTAGTGTTATCGACTTCGCAATTTAACTCACATCTGGTGGGAACACCGCGTGAGCAATGTGCGTGTTCGACGCCGTGGTTACGGCACAGGAAAAGGAAATGAACCGCTCAGCACCGTTATTTCACGCATCAGGCTCCGATGGCTCGGCCACGGGTTACGCATGCCAGCCCACCGACTCCCGCGACGTGCGTTGTTTGCGTGCCGGGGATGTGGATGGAAGAAGAAGAGGGATGGCCAAGCGATGACTTGGTCGAGAGGAATGAAGGCCCTCACTTCTGAGCTGGCCTCGGTTGGAGCGTCACGGCTCCCTGGTTGTGGTCCAAAAGACGGTGAACACGTTTGGCTGGATACACTTGCTGACATGGCAAGGAGCCGACCTCAGTGGCGTTCGTGCTGCGAGTTTCTTTGTCCCACCCCATCCCATTTAGCCTCCACCTCCAACCACGATCTCATTATTTAGCATTTTATAATTTTGCGTAGTATTTTTTGTTGATGCACAGTAGCCGGCTGGTGGCTTACCGGAACGATGCCCATCCGTTACCGGTAGCTCAGCTGGCTTGCACCTGTTGCATTCCTTTTTCTCTCCTTTTTTCTGTGTATTGCGGCACAGTAGCTGAGGTGTTCCCCACCTCTAGCTAACGTGTATAATGATGATAATGCGGATGATGTTATCGACTTGCGCGATCGTAGTCTATTTGGGGCTATCGACGCTAGCAAGCAACAGGTCAGTGTGGGGTCATTGTTGCTCGCTGGTTAGCTCCGACCCCATGTGCATATAAATGTCTAACATGGGTTGTGACCAAACGAACTTGAATTGCGGAGCAAATGACAAGTTAACCCCCTTAAGCCCATTACCGTAACCGAAGTCGGACAGGTGGTTGTTTTAAACACGCCTAGCTGATCTTATCCGGCTTATGTCAATGGATCAATAGATTTATCGCGAATACTAAACCTTTAGCAAATCGAAGTTAGTGGGGGTCGGAGGGTCATTGTGAAGCACTTGCTGTGTGATTGGATTGCGACGCGCAATCACAATGTGGACCGGAATTTACATCAATGAACCAATGATCAAGACCGTAGCTGAGACAGTAATAAAGGGTGTTACCTGTCCGAAAACCATGTATTGTGAGGATCGTGGTGACGTATCACCGTTTAGCAAGCTGAACCGAACTTTGTCCAGCGGCGCTTGACAAACGTATTTTACTCTATCGAGGTGGTGTTTGTGTAAGCGGAGGTTGAGGGAAGCACAGACCAGCAATTGCACTCTGAACCCACTTTGACATACATACTTTTATTCGGAAAACCAGTTTTCTGTCGGTTCTGCCCGTGTAAGCAGCTCCACAATTATGTGCTAGCTGGTAAAATGTGTGTGGGATTACTTCGTTAGAAGTGCCAATTTATTTCAGCTTCGGCTTGGGACAGGAAACTGGGCATCAGGATTTTTTTTATAGGTTCCAACTATCACACGCATCAGCACGGTTGAGGCAAATTTTGGAGCGCAGCCTGCTGTAAGCATTTCCTCGGCTGTCTTATGCACCGATTTCTTCAGCCGTATTTCCTTCTATGTCCTCAAAGTTAGCCTTTTCCACGGATGTGGCTATAACTGACTTCAGCTTGTTGGCCAGCCAGTCGTGAGAGCAAATTCGCATGACACTAGTAAGCAAATTCTTCACAAGAGCCCGCTTGTACCGCAGTTGTGTGAAACTAATGAAGAGGAAGCAATGTCCAGAGCAAGTTGCTTCTCAGTAGACGAACCTTTCTAGTAGGCCGTTCGCCTACGATTCATGACGATGTTCAATCATAGTAGGAGCTCCTCCGTTCTACTACAAGCGACCCGCACGTTGGTATACTCAGAGTTAATGTGCTCTACCAACTGTACTATCTTTCGCACCGAAGCTATTGTTGTAGATATGCCTCTCAGTACCGGCGAGATAAAGTCAGCTATTGACTGGCCCAATGGGCTGCCCAGTATTCTCTGTGTGCAACACAGTCCTAATACTGTATAAACTCCCGAGACCAAGAATGACAAAGCTTTAAATTACATCACGATCTTGTGTAAGACCACCTCATAAGCTATGCTCCCGTCCGGGTTGTTAATTGGATCAAGGATTTGTAATCGAAAAAGGAATGCAGGGAGGAATTACTCGAATTTTGAAGGAGATTCGTTACATCCACTTCTATGTCAACAGCCGCCGCACATCTGGAAACGCACTGTCAGTTGTTTCCTCCTTCTCATCTTCCTACTGAAATTTGGCAGTTGTCATGGTGCTTTTGTAATTGAGCCCAATCCGCTTTGCACTACTTTCTGATATTCGGGAATCGTCCAAAGCATCATTGTTCTACCGAATAATTTACGGCCCCTTTGAAAACAGTCTTGGCCATTGTTGTCCCCTGTACAGCAAAAATGCGCTTGTCAGTACAGGAGGAGTCGGGATTACATTACGGCTTTTTAACTGGTCGCGAAGATTGCCAAATTTTCCGCTGGTTCAGTGGTTCCAATCACTACTTCAAAAGTGGACGGTCGCGCTTTTATTCCTTCATCGGGCTGGCAAGTTCCATAGAGTCGGAAACACCATCTAGCATTTTCCTTGGTGTGTATGGTGCCTGGCTGTTTGTGGACGTGATAAATCTTCCATATGAGCATCTAATTTCCGACACTTTTCAAAACTTTGCAGTATTTCTATCTTGATTTTTCCGCCATTCGCACCCTGAACGGTGAATGTAAGAGATTCCTTCAATTCTTCTCTAACTAATGGCCCCTCACGCATGCGCTAAACCGTCCTTTAGGAATCCGAGTTGAAAACGATTGTCTTCACTTTCATCGGCTCACTCGTGTGGAAGAACTTGTAGTTGTCGGTCTATAACAGTTTCTTCTAAGAATTTTCGGTTAACTGTTGTGTACACCAGATACCTGAAGCATTGTTGATGTATTGGGTGACCATTGTAATCTTTATTTCTTTACACTCTTAGCCATACTGGGAGCAGAGCGGCGTTGGTTCCAAAACATACGTGACACACTGGCCCACATGAACAGCGTGGAGTATACATATATCACGGAGTTGGCCGACGACACTGAAGTAAGTGCGTTCCGAAGCACTGATTTTGTCAGTGGACCGCTTGTATTGTTGACATTACGCAAGCAACCGTGTGAACTCATGTGTCCGTTCTGTGGTTATTTCAGACACTCGACCGGCTGTCAAAGGAACACTCTGCGGAGGATGTGGACCGCTTGGATTCATTGGCGAAGTCATTGTCATCGGCCCGCATTTTAAATTCACACATTCAAAAAGAATTGCGGGTTTACAAAGTGGAGTTGAGTGGTATCAAGGAGGACGTAAGTTATATGCATAACTGTTAATTACTCCATTTGACTGGTGATCCAATGGAATGTTAAAGCGACAAGTCAGTGCGAATTTCTGTATAGTATCTCCAGCGCCGACCACAGTGACAGTCCTCGAGACGCTGATGTTCACTGACCTTTACAGCTGAATTAAAGGCTGTGACTTAAACTGCCAACCTTTTGTCTGCATAAACAGTTAGCTGTTGCATCTGTTACTCAGGTGATGTGCGTAGCGGCATTAAACGGACCACTTACACATGTCTCTACCTCAAGGGTTACTTAACTGCCGGCGGCTTCCCCTACATCAGCTACTAGCTGACTACTGTTGGTACATGGAACCTCCTACCTTCGCTTTTTTCGTGAACCATTGAGCTCGCTGATGATGATGGGGTCCAACGAGCTATCTGAAATTTATTCCGCTCGAACTAAACCGCATAACATCCACACGTGACCTTCATATGTACGGGGAATCCACTTCGTTCCGTCAAAAACGATCATATGTACGTGTGGAAACCGTCCTCTGCTCTTGCAAAACCGAAGTGGACTTCACAGACGGACATCGGCTGTCCATTCTCCACTACTCTGTGCATCCGTGCGAAACTTTCTTCAACATAGAAACAACTAAACGAGCTGGCCGCAATCTTTTTGGTTTAATATAGCCCACCGCATGCACTCCGCGGCACTATGTCAGTCTTTGAACTGACCAATGACCGATAGTTTTCACATAGTTTACACACATTTTCCACTTTCCATGTTATGGGAGCAGACTACCTGTGCCGAATAACCGGCATCATTCAAACTTCTGTACACAGAGGTACGGAACATTCATTTTTGTCTAGTAGCTCAACTACAGCGTAAATGCGTCAGGGAAACTGCTCTCACTGCGCATCTACCGTTCACCTGGAATTGATGACATTCACCTAACGGCGCTGAACTTAACAGCAACAACACTGGCCTGGCCATTATCATACTTCTTCCAAACTTGCTTGAATAAACAAATGATTTCCATATGAAAACATAGAGTAATCACGCCTATTCTTAAAGCGGCAGTCACTCGAAACGTGCATACTATCGCCCAGTGGTCCTCGAAGGTGATGGAGGCATTATTCGACTATATAGAATCCTGCCACATCATTGCACCAGGACAGCATGGTTTCCGTCTGCACCGAGCAAACACAACTAATCTCCTGATTGCACAATGCAGTTGGATAGAAACGGCCTACAAATAGACAGGGATCGATGTTATTTACATTGACTTCTCCAAAGTCTTCGACCGACTGGACCACCCGCATTCTGCTTCACAGGCTGAAAAGTTAACAGGTTGGGGATCCTGTCTTTAGATGGATCAAGAAATTCCTACAATCTCAGCAACTGCAGGTCAGAGTTTGAAGTGCGCTGTCGGATTCGACTGATGTCGAATGTGGAGTTCTACAAGGATCAGTTCTGGAGCCGCGTCTGTTTCTCGTGCTCATCAACAAATTTACGCGTTTGATTGCCTCAACTTTCTTGCAGTTCACTGGGGATGTTAAGATGCGGCACGCGGTCGCCGACCAAGGAGATCACGATGCACTTTAACGCGGCCTGGACAGGGCTTACGAATGATCATTCTACAACCTGCTCCAGTTTAATTCGTTCAAATGTAAGGTGGTCCACTTTCATCATCAGCCGAACATTATATACAAGGTTGGGGACTACGTCCTGCAAGAAGTCACTCAGGAGCGCAATCTTGGTGTACTAATTCAAGTTTCTTTGGATTGCCCAGCACAATTTGAGAAAGCGTCAAAGAATGGGAACCAACACGTTGGTATCCTTCGGAGGTATTCGGGCGGTAGGATCTATCTGTCTGCTAGCAGATGCTTAGCACATACGTGCGGCCTCACCTGAAATGCGCTATCCAAGGCTTGGCATCTCTGGCACAAGCAAGATCACACAGCGTTCGATATTCCACAGTGAATAGTCACCACGCACGTCCAAGGATACTTCAGTCTTCCATATCAACTTAGGCTTAGAACCCTATGATTATACAGCGGTCAGTATTGGCGCATCCGTGGTGACCTAATAATGGTGTTATGAGGAATGCTAGCCACGTCTTTCGCCACCTACTGCAACTTAGCGACGACTCGAACCCGATGGGTCACTAGTTCAAGTTGGCCCCGCAATACAGCCAGCTAGAATGTGGCCGAAACTTCTGTTCCCTTCAGTCTTGGAATACGCTCCCTGCTTACGTATTTCTGCACCTACTTTATGTTTGTAATAAAACGCGTTGACGTTGCCCTAACCCACCTGCATTGCGAAATATAGTTCGTGTACATCGAGAGACGACAAATCGTGAAAATGGTGCTCCAACCAGCGTGTACCCAACACGTTCGCAGCAGGCTCTTTTACGCAAGACTTAATGTAAACACTGTGGTGAATCCGCCAAAAGGCTTTTTATTTTATCACTATGTTTCCGTTTCACCATTTTTGTGGTTCTCATTCAGGCCATCTCAGCGGGTTTTGACTCATCATACACCATTGCACCAGTGAATGCATTATACATCCACCAGAAAATTCAACGTACTCTATATTGTATAAAATGGACAGCTACCTCCATTTCCAACCAAGCCATCATGACTGACCAGTGGAGATCGCATGAGCAGTCATGCGTAAATTCCACTGCTCCTAAACTATGGAACCCGCTGGACCATAGCTGAAATGTTTTTCAACACAATTTCGACTTACATGGCTTTTGGATTCTATAAATATGCAGGTTTTTGTTGTTGTTTGTTCAGGTGGAGTGTGTTCAGACAACTGTGCTCCCCCGAGTAACTTCTTATGTGGAGAACCAGGGGAAAGTAAAGGCTCACACGGAGGCAAACAAGCCTGTTTTCGTCGTTCTGTAGTAAAGCAGGTCGGGTATCACATTCTGTGTGCAAGCATCCTCAGATCTTCCCGTAACTAACTGTGGGTTTATTTTATGTTCTAAATCACCCATCTTTTAATCAAACCCACCGGTTTCGATTATTTCACGCGTTTGCGTCAGTTATCAGGTAGACCACTTTGACCCATGTCAGTGAATGGATAGTTATGTCTTCCACCACTCTCATAGGTTCACTTGGATTGAGCGACCTGCGTGGGTTTATTTTCAGTCACCTTTTTGGGAGTCAATGAATAGCATTGTTCAAGTGCATTTTATAGTGAATCGGTAGTTGCACATCGCTTCAGTAATGTCCTGCATTTAAAATATAACAAAACACGCTTTACCTTTATCCATGAGTAATTTATCAAGGTAGAGTGCGCTCGATGCGAGTACTACCAGGAGACTTACCGGTCCAATTTCTTCGGCTGGATTACTGGTTCCAGGACACCAATAAGTCAGTTGCTCATTTGTTCGCCGAGCTGCGAAATTGGTTTGAAAACGTTTCACCGCCATGCGAGACGGCATCATCAGTGTGTCGCGATATGGAATGTAATCTCGCTGATTGATTTGCCGACCCGTGATCGGCGTGCAGGTGACATTTCGAAAGTGAAGGCTTCGATCTGTGTCCCGTGATCTCTACACATTTCCCCGTGGCGGAGGTCGTTGCTTGGGTTGTTCCTATTCAAGCGGCGTCTCATAATTTCTCTAAGTTCTCTCCGTCGTAGGGGTTGGTAAACTGGGTCAATCTCGATGTGCATGTTGATCGAGTCTTTTGTTGAGAACCACGCTTCCAGGAATTCCCTTGCTCTTCTTGTTTCACCTCGTGCTAGGACTTCTGTTTTGGCACAATCAAAGCTATGTTCTTTTTCATCCACGTGTGCTGAGACTAGCGAAGATGCACAGTGTCTTTTGCATGCTCTTTTATGCTCTTGTAATCGTGTTGTCAATTTTCTGCCTGTTTGGCCAACATAGTCCTTTTCGCAATTTCTACAAAGTAGTCTATCTACAACATTGCTTTGCTCATGAGCTTCCAGTTTCTCTTTCGATTTCGACAGAGTTTTTCTCAGTGTAGCAGTTGGTTTGTGTGCTACGATGAAGTGATGTTGTTTGAATAGTCTTGCTGCCATTTCGGATATATTCTTCATATAAGGTAAAACAACGCGTCTCTCTGCCGTTGGTGTAGACTGTCTGTTTGGTTTGTTGGGGTTCAGGCACCTTCGGATGAAGCTTCATGGATATCCGTTGAGTTGGAGACATTTAAATAGATGCTTCTCTTCTCGTTGTTTTGCCTCCGTGGTACTGCGGTGTGTTTGCACTCTACCAAATAGTGTCCGCACACAGCTTACTTTGTGGCATTTCGGATGGTTACTGTTAAAATTCAGAATTTGGTCCGTATGTGTCCATTTTCTGTAAACTGCTGTTTGCAGCCTCCCTTCCATGGTTCTGGTTGTCAATACATCCAAGAAAGGTAGTTTGTTTTCCTTCTCCATTTCCATTGTAAACTGGATGTCTTCAATGGCATTGTTTAATAGCTGCTCTGCGACTGTAACTTGATTGCGTTTGATGATCACACTCCCACTCATTAATCCGAAACTGTGGGTCCGATATGTTGAGGACACTTTGTGATCATCAAACGCAGTCAAGTTACAGTCGCAGAGCAGCTATTAAACAATGCCATTGAAGACATCCAGTTTACAATGGAAATGGAGAAGGAAAACAAACTACCTTTCCTGGATGTCTTGGTAACCAGAACCATGGAAGGGAAGCTGCAAACATCAGTTTACAGAAAATGGACACATACGGACCAAATTCTGAATTTTAACAGTAACCATCCGAAATGCCACAAAGTAAGCTGTGTGCGGACACTATTTGGTAGAGTGCAAACACACCGCAGTACCACGGAGGCAAAACAACGAGAAGAGAAGCATCTATTTAAATGTCTCCAACTCAACGGATATCCATGAAGCTTCATCCGAAGGTGCCTGAACCCCAACAAACCAAACAGACAGTCTACACCAACGGCAGAGAGACGCGTTGTTTTACCTTATATGAAGAATATATCCGAAATGGCAGCAAGACTATTCAAACAACATCACTTCATCGTAGCACACAAACCAACTGCTACACTGAGAAAAACTCTGTCGAAATCGAAAGAGAAACTGGAAGCTCATGAGCAAAGCAATGTTGTAGATAGACTACTTTGTAGAAATTGCGAAAAGGACTATGTTGGCCAAACAGGCAGAAAATTGACAACACGATTACAAGAGCATAAAAGAGCATGCAAAAGACACTGTGCATCTTCGCTAGTCTCAGCACACGTGGATGAAAAAGAACATAGCTTTGATTGTGCCAAAACAGAAGTCCTAGCACGAGGTGAAACAAGAAGAGCAAGGGAATTCCTGGAAGCGTGGTTCTCAACAAAAGACTCGATCAACATGCACATCGAGATTGACCCAGTTTACCAACCCCTACGACGGAGAGAACTTAGAGAAATTATGAGACGCCGCTTGAATAGGAACAACCCAAGCAACGACCTCCGCCACGGGGAAAATCATTCTTATGGAGGCTGCGCAATTCGCAATTCGCAATCATACCACTGCTCTTTCGAACCCCACTTAACCACGCCAATCACTTATTTGGTGGGCACTGGTTTTTGGTCTTCTTGTAAATGACTTGCGCTGTGCCTCTCATAATTCTGCCCTTACACTTCCGATCTTGGATAAAGTTAAATGAATTGGGGCTAGAAGTCCTGCCGATGAGAACCACCGTGCTAAGGGAGAACGGCTATCCGGAAAGCTTCATCAGAGCCAACATGGAACATAAGAAGAAAAAGCCTGTAGTTTTGACAGTAGAACGTAAGCCAATCTTCCTACAGCTGCCATACAAGGGCGAGGTTTCGACGGAACTTCTATCTCGTCGTCTTTCGTTTGCACTCAGCGCAGATGCAAATCCAGTTCACTAGCTTTCCGATGGTGAGACTAAACTCAAAGGATAAGAGGCCTGTCCACACCAACTCAATGTGTATCTACTCATTTTCATGCTCCTGTGGAGCGGAATACATTTGTCGTACGACACGGCGGCTATCCGAGAGCATGAAGGAACACCACCCGGTCGGGCTTACAAATAGAAGTGGAAATACAGCGAACTCATCAATAGCCGCGCACCTAGCCGATACAGGGCACGTGACAAAGTTCACTGATTCATTCAAACTAATCTATCAGGCCCCAAAGCACCGCTCGAACTGCGTCCGTAAGCGATTACTAGAAGCCGCTGAAGCAATTGCGATCAGGCTGTATGAACCGGAACTATGTGTTCAGAAGAAGCTAACTAAAGGCTTGGAACTGCCCTGGCCCAAACGGCCGGTGACCTCTAACCCACGAGGTCACACGCGGTCGATTGTCGTGGCTTAACAGACAGCGCTGTCAGCATCCAATTAACTCGCTTTACTAGTAACGATTTATAATGTCTGTTTACATTTTGATTTTGATTTTGCATATAATTGTATAAGCCTGAAGAGGAATTATCGAAAACATATGTTCGCTTACCCTGACTTCGAACCACCGTTGTTTCGGTGCTACCCTGTGTGTAATCAGACACACGTCGCCTATGAGTATGTGCATCCATATGGTTGTATCTTATGTTTATGGCGACGCTCCGCGACTGTAGACACACTGTATGTTATGCGGGAATAGGCACCTTTTTGTCCGTTGGAATGGTATGGAGTCAGTGTCCGCTAGCCCTTCACCTGTACAACGCAAACCGAGCATGCTTTGCAAATTTCAGGGACCTACACTCGACGACGAATACATCCAAGTTTACGTATCTAGCTAATAGGATGATATCAGTCGAACATGAATTGCCATATTGTCACTCACGCACATGACAGTGTAATCCAACTGTACACCGCTTTAATCTGATCACCGGCATCTACACAACGATTGTTATTAAGAACTGCCCTCCTCGGCCTCCGTTTGAGCTTTATGCGAACAGTGATTACAATGGAATCAGAGCAAGTAGATCAGAAGCGCAGGTTCGCACAATTATGGTTGCACACCCACGCACGAGACGTCCGTTGTCTCACATCAGTGAACCACATCAGAAAGTAAATGAAGTAAACTGCTACTGCCCGATGCAATGCAGAAAGGAGTGGATTCCACTTTGGTCAGATGCAACCCAACGAGTTTGACAATAGCCCAGAAAATATTGCTCCAAATGCATCAAGCACGGCTAATGTAAACAATCTCTAGACAGAAATGTGCGAAACCCGCGCAGAAACATCTCGGCAGACAGACAATGTCACTGAGACTGGCAGACTCTAATGTTAGTGGTTTCGAACAGTGGCACGGAAGAAGTGTAGTTCAACAACGATGTTCGAGGAGGCAAAAGCGAGTCACCACACTTACACAAAATCTCAGTGCACCTTTGTTCATGGAAGAAAGATCCTTAGAGCGCTCATGGCAAATACACCACACAATGATGCACTAGAGTGGAACATTGCACCTATCGTGCGAAATGTGCATGTTGCCACGCATGCTAGCGTCTACTCTCTTTTCATATTTTCCATTGTATTTTACCTTAGCAATGAAATTTCCTTGTGTATCCCATCTATTTATCTACTTACGAGTAACTTATGGGTTAAGGATACCTCAACAATGCGTAGCTGATGGTTTCAGAAAGATCTGCAAACGATCGATTGATCTATTTATTTATTTGGCTTTCAACACAAGAGCCTCTGGTCTGAAGAAGGTCTTGTGTCACGATCAAAATGCCGCCAAATAAATATATCAACCGGTTGTTTACACCTTTCTGAAACCATGGCTTCTTGCTCGGTTCCAGGTATATCCCAACAGTCTTAACGCGTGGCTGATAAAGTAATAAATATACTAGCACATTCCTTCCATACCAATCATTTTTGATGGTGCTTGAAGATGGCTCAGTAAAGTGCTTTTTGACAACTTAACCAGTCAGTGTTTTACACAAGTTCTCCTCGCCCCGTGCATGTTTATCACGACACCTAATTTGCATAACCTCAGCTCCATCGTACGCAATCGGAGGCCAAAAGCATATTGGATATACTTCAAACATCGCAGTCGCAAAGTTCAGAAATCGTAGCGTCGCTACAATCGCTGAAGCCCACACTGTGTGGTCTAATTCCCTCCGGCACTAAACCTTCCAATGATCCATCCCAGCTCACGGAATGTGCCAACACGATTTCAAATGCAGAGGCTTACGTGCTACATTTGACGAATGAGATCAGCAAATTCCACAGTGATAGTGCCACTCACCGATTTTTGAATCGAAAATTACAAGCGAATATTGATCAGATTCAGGTACGTTCTGCCTGATTATATCACATCACCATCGATCTCTATATAACTCCCATTATTTTATTTTATTTCTTTAAAACAAGCATTAGGCGCTACGATTATTTGAGCCATTCCCATCTCCAGAGCCTCATATTCTTGTCTTTTCCTGGGTTCGTTGAAGAACTACCTGTCTATGTTATGTCGTCTCAGTCGCACTCGCTGTAAGTACTCTATGGCAGTGCGTACGGTTATGGTGCACCCCTTCAGGTTTGCAATCCATTCTGCTAATGATTATAAACATCTGGGTTAGCTTGTGACAGGTTTTCAAAACATCCTAATGTGTTTCACATTACTGGTATTTGCAAGCGATCCGCAAACTTGTAACAGTTTTTGTTCGTTGGACACCTCCATGATGCTACCGAGCTGAGAAGAAAAATTCGATCTTTACTTGGAATTAGATTACTTCGGATCTCAAAATAAGCTGTCACCTCTTGCATTTGTTACTACCAGATACATATTGTATTGTGGGACGCAGACCAATTGATACGGCTTAACGACGCAACCGTAAGCAAATAATAACACGCAACCTCGTGGTAGAGTTCTCACTAACCTCGAACTTGCGGCAAACGTGGCTCTACCCAACCGCCAGTGCTGTAAATCTCCCCTTCTCAACGCTGTGACAGGCGAAATAGACTTACTCCATGGTCTATCTGGGGGGATTAGTTTCACTTCATTTCTTTTCTCTTAGCTGCCAGTCTCGGCTTCCGGTCGCCATTTGTCTTTTAGCACCAATTTTGCCCCATAGATACATGTTCACACATATAACACCCATATTGTTTAGTTTCCGGCAACTGCTTCACAGTGCTCCTCATATTTTGTCCCCTGAAATGAACATGACTGGGCTAACTGAGTCATGAGGAGTTACAAGTGTCCCACTTATGAGTGCTTCTCGTTCCGCCTAATATCGTACACATTCCATTCAGAATGTCTTCTATAGATTTGCCGCTCCATTGTGAATCCGGGTCGTGATCCTGCTCGCATATTGGTAAACCATTCATTCGTATCACATTCTGTCTGCCCGGATAATCGCTGTTCACCACTCTGACCTGGTTTATAGTTTTAGTTAGCATGCACAGTCTTTCATCCACGGACTGATTGGACTACTTACTCAGATTATGACCAATAATTGTTTTGCTTTGATACTGACTCTTCAACCGACACTGCTTGGTTGTTAAACTAAGCTTTCATCACTCGCATGTTTTTACTTTTGGAATGGTATCTCCTCTTTACATTGATTCATTCAACCACCACTAGACTGGTTTGCGAAACTGGTTCTTTCTTGGGCCCAGACCAGATCCAGCTAGTTAGCAGTAAGGAACTTCTTCCTTCTATTATGTCACAGTGACCATTTTTGTAAACACAAGACGGTGGATCTATATACCTCTTCAGTGCGGCACTTACTGTTGCCGAGATAGTTTTTCTGACTTGTGGAAAACCTCCCGTCTGGTCATTTCCCTTACTCTGGCTTTGTGCTTCCTTTGGCTGGTCAGTTCGCGATTCTTGAGCAGCGTCTCAAGTTCACGAAGCAGGCTGCGCCCATTCGGCTTCCCGATAGATTCACCTTAATTGCCGACAACCTCACACTCATTCCCGGTATTGCAGATAGCTTTCGCATTGGCTGTGAACGAGAAGAGTCGACACCCCTACGTTCCCATTGTCAGGAACTCTGTGTTTGGGTGGTCACACCTAACGTATGAATCAGGGGCTGATAACATAGGCTACAGCGTTGTTTACTATTCCTGAGGCCAATCTTCACTGCAGTTACGACGAAGACTATTCGCTTGCGCGCAGGTCTGTCAGACCGGTATTGTCACTTTGCCTCTAGCTCCTTAGATCAACGCCTCTTTCAGTGGGATTCCCATTTCTTTCACTTCAACTCGACATTTTTAGGAGACAGCAGGCGTACTGTGGTCACGGTGTCTCCCTGGCTGTTACAATAATTCAGTTGAACTTTCATGTTAGGCTTGCAAGTCTTTCGAAAAGCAGGCACATCGGATAAAGCACACAAAAACCGAGCATTGAAAGTCTCTCGAAAGCCGACACTGCCTGTGTTTATGTTGCCACTCATCCATCCAACGGATGTGTTTCAAATGTATGATAGTGGATGATTTAAATTGGGACCACATTTTTTCTCGTTTTTGGTATCATTGCGCTTGACATCGAATCCCACACTTTCTCTACGTAATTCAAACCCTGCAAAATTTTGGTACCAAATGCATCTCTTCCCGTCGATCACTGTCGACCAAGTGTAGCTTTGTTGGTCGTGATTACTCTTGTGAGGCACCATTAGCTTAGCACAATACCCGTTAGCTTTTGCCCATTTTCGTCCGTGAGCCTCTGTTCCAACCGAACCACACTAGGGACAATAACTGATCTTTCCTCTACACCACTTATCTCCGACGTGTTTTTCTCCTGAAGCTGGTTTTCGGGCGGGCAACACCCAATTTCCATCTGCTTCAGCTAGTGATCGCAGTGACCGTGGTTCACTACAACGCGAATCACGGTCCACATTTAGGTTGCGCGTCACAATTCCATAACACAATGTGTACTACAAAATGGCTCACCATCGTATTTCGATTAATTAAAGCCACTCTAATAGCACTTGATTGTCAGCTGGGGAACATCAGCACATAACCTGTCCCGCAACTGTCTTAGTTGAAGGGCGAGGCATCATATCCAGTTGGTTTTGCTTGTTAGTTAGTGTTGCGCATGGTGTGCAATGAACTGTTTCGTACCTTCTTGCCGCAGAAACATCTGAAGCCGGTGCAGAATCTGATGGTCAAGCTGAACCGACAGGTTGACATCGAGTCGAAGCTGACCGGAGTTCGTCAACAAGTGGAAGCAATTGAGAAGAGTACACATTTATTGGACATCACATCTGTCAATCCGGCTGACATACAAGAAAGCACAGAAAAAGCGAAGGTTAGTTCGTGAAATTCTGGGTGTGTTCTAAATGGACCTATTTCTTTGCTTCACGAAGTAATATCTAAATTCCTAGCTTTCGTCGCAGCTAATAATTTATTCTTTGGAGTTCCCTTTATATTGGTTTTTGTTTTGCAAGCAAGTTGCCCTTCAACTATGTGGCCATTGATTGCATTAGCCGCCTTATCTTAGTTTCTTTCTTCTCACGATCAAAAGTCCTCATTCAAATAGTACCGTTACTCGTATGAGTTTCGTATTAAATGTGGATCAGTGAAACGTCAAAGTTTTTTCCTACATCACATGTACTCACCTCGATGTGCTCAGCTCTGATGACAACTGCTGATTATTCAACAAAAAGTGCTTTTGACTCAATATATTACGCGACAATATGGATCACAAGTAAACGCCATCTCCTGCAATTGACGAATTAGGGGGAGATTTGCAGTCTGCCCCCAATCCAATCTCACTGATGCTGCGTAATGGTATGTTTATGATGACTGCTCTGTGCAACACTTATGCGAAAATTCATAAGCCGTACAAAGGTCATAATCTCATAAAAACTCCTCGTTTAATTTGTTAAGTTCGGCGGAATCTAGCAAGAAGTGACCGGTAGTATTTACGCGATGTGCTGCCCATCCCACAGTTGTGTTGGTTAATCATTTCCTCCTTTGTAGGCGGTTGTGCTAGCGGCAATTCCTGCACACCGCACCTTATACCAGGCCGGACATAGCAGGGCTGCGCGCCGGAAGCTTACGCGGATTCACCCCACTGTATCATCAGTAGTTATTAGATAGACATTGGGTGTTGCCTTTCAGAAAACACTGTACTCCTAGACCGATTTTGAACTTGTATGCCCTCATCAGTTAGCGATAGCAGGGGTGCATTCAAATCCATTCACACAACGACTACTCTAAAATGACCTATCCAGTTATTCGCCGTTAGCTTGATCCAAACACTGTGAATGAGCAGTGTACTAAAGAATTGGAACCTCGTTGTGGATTAAGTTGCTCGCCTATCTAATGTTATGCGGAGTTGCATTCAACCACTGTACATACAAGCATAGCACTACTTCTATGGGTCGAATTCTAGGATTTCATCGTTCCACCATGTAGTTGGCCTTACTCCACCCCCACAACTTGAGCAAATAGCTCGGCAAGTTGGTGTAAGTATTCGTGCCGCCACGAGAGACCAAAAGCTGCTTATCTCACTTGCTTGTATCATTCAGTGACACAATCACTTGGGCCAGACTCTGGAGGACCATACACGTTAGGCACCTTTACCGCTGCAACCTATGAGTTCATTGCACTACTCAAAGCTGGAAATAACATCGGTCCTTTGGTTGGCCATAACAAGTGTCATTAATCCTAACAGCGGTAGCTTGGTCTCAGATAAACTTCCACGTCATTCCTGGTTATGCATCCGACTCTGTCATCAACATTATGTGTCACGGATTCACCGAAGTTCCGTAACTACCGCCAACTCTGCACTGATGATGTCACTTCGATTGGTGATGAAACGTCTGCAACCCACCTGCCAATCTCGGTAAAAAAAGGAACTACTGAATCGTCAACCCAAGCTTCCGGTATTCCGAAACATTTTAAGCTACATCTCTGCATAAAGTTGGAAAAAGTTGGCAGTCCAATACATTTTACACTGTCTTTCAGTCCTAGCACACTCCGCTTCTGGCCCCTTCTGTTATAGACAGTTACGACAAATGTAGCTTGTGACACAACGGCCCCAGTCACTATACATTTTCTTCGTTAATTCTGTGACCCAACTAGGTGGTTTCAGTTCTATCGCCCGTTCGAAATACGATAGTCGGCGGGCGGATCCGATTTTATTGCCCCTTGGAGGAGCAAAAGAGTTCGTACCTAACGGTACCTGTCCTTCGGCTTGCTTTTAATAACAATAATAATAATAATAATAATAATAATAATAATAATAACGAGCATAATTGGAACCGATGATCTTGATGGAAGCCAATTGTGATGGTGACCTGAACATGAGGCGAGTGAATCACAATACCCTCATGCTGACGTCGCATACGCGCATCAGTGCCCTGAAGCCGACCTCACAAGGTGCGAGGATGGCCGGAAAAGCGATAGGATATAATACTGATTTAACATAATTTGTAGTCTAAAATCCCTTTCTACATATACAGTAGAATTTGATCACGTCCCAGAATTCGCTTTTGCTTTTTGGAGGCCCTCTAGACATGTCCCAGAGGTACTGACATGCCGTGCTCGCTTTTGAGTTACAGTCATCAAGCCCTTTGTCAACCGCTCTGCAGATGACGGAAAGCATATGACCAGACAACTAGAGGATATAAAAAGCGAAGTGGAGGACCTTTCCAACGCCGACCTAGTTGCATGCATATCCGAGGCCATCACAGTGTTTCACGTCCATGCACGGCATTCGCGATGTAATGAGACGAATAATGGAAGTCTGGAATCTCAGTGCTCATGATCAAAATCCAGGTTTTACCACAATAACCAGAAGATCTGATGAGTACTGTGCACTTCGATCCAATCATTACACTCGTTCCTGCCGACCGGCCAAGATTAGTTCAATTGAGAGAGAAGGTAAGCTCCCGGCGACAGAGAGATACCAAACAACCGATATATAATTCGAAGGAAAAGAAGCACGCAAAATTGAAATGGAATATGCAGCTGAATAACGGAATTAGGCAAATCTAATGAAGTGGAATACATTTTATCCAGGTTACGAAAATCCAGTCGGTAAGTCGGTGTGCCTCAACTACGGGGAAGTAGCATGATTTATGCAACATCAACCGTCAATATACTACCCGGAAATCACTACACCGCAGCAGAACGCAGTGCGACACATCGTTGTCTTAAGTGATGTATTCGCTAGATGTTACGACCGAAAGATAATTCCATCGTGAAGGCAGTCTTGTAAGCCCAGAAGTACTTTCCAAAGACAAGGTTACTCACGATTACCTCTACAGCACGTCACTCAAACGGAGAAATATGCGACTGCTAAGCTCGACACAAGTCCGGCTCAGTATTGGTTAATACGTGGAACATAGAAGCAACTACCGGCAGCTCTGGGTCTAATACAATTTGAAAAAACCGACTACTGATTTGCTAAACCCTTTACGAAAGATATTGCTACGACAAAAGAGGTATCACTATCACGAAACGAGTAGCCCTCCACCCCCAACATCTGGAACCGAAGTATGGGTTGGACCAATATCTGTAACTGATGATAGCTGGAGGGTGATGGCAAGTGATAAGGGCCATAGGGGCTGTAAAGTACGATTCGGGAATAACTTCATCCGGCGGCACCGATTGCAGCTAAGGTAATATGGTAGACAGGATTTGTACCGTGAGAAGCAGCAGCATATGCAGAACGCACCGATTGCCACCGCAGCCCATGACGAAAATCTCTTTCGCAGTGAAGGTCACTGTGGAACTATTACAACACGACTACGAAAATACGAAGGATATGGCGGTTTCTGGAGGATGCGGGTAGTGTTTTAGCAACCCCAGGCTGGCCTCGTTTACACGCATCAATGAACTCAAGTTGACTCTGCAAGGTGCGACGGTGGCCGGAAAAGTGACGTTATGTGGCGTTGATCTAACCTGATGTGCAATATAAGATAACCCATTGTGCATTTATTGCGGATTTTGTTGGCTGTCCGTACTTTGATATGAATTCCTGGGAGGCTGTTGCAGAACTCAATCCTTCAGGGCAAAAACGGCTCGGCGAAAATTAAAGCACTTTTGGCAAGCCAAACCTCTCGATATAAGTTACGCGTTCACTTCCATAACTAACGACCCTTCTGAGGCAATGAGGTACTTCCTTTGACTGTTAAACAAACGATGAGTAACTCACATGGATGTTGACCAATCCATATCCAGCAATCAAATCAGATTCACCCGTCGACCATTGGCTATCGGGCTCGCTTGGTTGGCCCACCCGTTCACTCTGGTAGGACTCCCATCACACCTTTCCTTTTCTCATGTCCTTGTGTCTTCATCTTGTTATACACCCCATATATCTTGCCATTCCACGTCATCTTCGTTGCACCCGCGACCATGCTGTTCTTGTCACACGCCATCGGGAGTTACACTCCCAGTTCACCTTTTTGTCTCCGGCGTCTTCTCAAATGCACTCCATTTCTTCTGCGCGTTTTCCTTCCAACATTTATTTCGTATGACCTTGCACCGACCTTCGCAGTTACCACATCTTTCTTTCACTGCTCTTGACCATCGGGCGCTGGCTGAACCCATACTTCCTCTCTCAATCGTAACTCTGGCAGTATCCGTGCACGGCGATCGTAGTACCGTTTCTGGGTTATCATTTGTCTTCTCAGGTTGTTCTGTCATCTCTCATGCTGTGGAAAAACTGGGTGAAAATGTGTGGCAGATACCGGCATCACCGCTTCAGTTCTTCGACTGTATAGGCGTTGCAATGGGCTCAAGCCGATGTCCGTTGAAGGAGTGTTACGGTTCTCCAGTAGTCTGAGGTTTCGGGTCTTCACTAGTATCTCTAGTCTTTAAAAACAGTCGTTTGGTCTGCTTCACTGCTGACTCTGCCTTTCCATTCGCTTGGCTGTGATGTGGGCTGATTATCTGGTGCATGATTTTCCACTTGGTGATGAACACGTGGAACGCTTCGCTAGTAAACTAAGGAGCATTGTCAGAGGCCAGCTCCTCCGGTATTCCGTGCCGCACGAATTGACATCTGAGTCTCCACTTGACTCCACTTGACTCCTTTCTGAGTAAACTTCCTGATCCGCGTCTTGATATCAGCGAGTCGCCATAAAAAGGCTCAACTAATTCACCATGCCGTTTAAGTAATGGATTCCTTTCACCTTGTTAGGGGGTGACATCTCTCGTATTGCCTTGATTTTTCCTGGATCGACCCGAATCCCTTGGATAGTTAACACATGCCCATAGAAAATCATCTCATCTTACAGAAACTCAATTTTCTCACGTTTGAGCTCGATGTTCTTTTGCATACAACGCTGCAAGAAACGGTGGAGATTAACGTCATGCTCTCGTTTCGTCGAGCCATAGAGTAAAAAATCGTCTGCCAGGTCTATTACATCATCTAAAGCGTCTAGCGCTTGCACCAAGCGTTTTTGGTAAATTGAACTAGACACCTTCAAAGAAAACGGTAAAAGCAGCCAACGATAACGCACGAACGGCGTTGCAAATGGAGTCAGGAAACTGGATTCTTTATCTAGAACCACATGCCAGAATGCAGAAGACAGGTCTACCTTAGTGAAATACTTAGCTTTGGCGAGGTGCGGCAAGATGTCTTCTAGGGTAGGTAGCGCATAATGCTCTCTACGCAGGGTCTCATTTAACGGTTTCGGGTCAATACACACACGCAGTTCGCCCGTCTCCTTCGTAATGATTGCGACCTGACTAACCCAATCGGTTGGCTCGTCAACTTTGGCAATCACGCCCTCTCTCACTAACTTGCTCAACTCAGCGCGGAACCTGTCACGCAGTGCAAGTAGACCTCTCCTAACCGGTAGCACTGTCGGTCGTACCAAAAGATCTAACGATAAGTGAGCAGTTCCCTCAAATTTTCCCAAACCCGGACTAAACACAGACGGATACTGGTCACTAATATCGGTTTCTCTCTGGCAAACATGCACAAAACGATCATGATTAAAAACAACAAAACCGGGAGACTGAATCGAATCAATGCCGAGTATCGGCTTGAGCTCCCCATTCACGACCACAAACTCCAGTCGATATGAGGCTCCGTCCCTTGGGTTAACCACTACGATTGTAGCCGAGCCCTTCGGAATAAGTCGGAACCATTTCACTCCACATGCGCAGGCACTCTTGATTGGATCGAATGCACACTCCGGGACAGTGCTTCCTTGGTATAATGTTAACAGTAGCTCCCGTGTTTAACTGGAACCGTACGGCCTCCGATCAAAAGACTTGCTTAGACACATTTTTACGACACCGTCAGAGACACGTTACCAACCGAATGTTCTGCTTCTGCGGGCGACTTGTCACGAATGACCGCACTCACATTGGTTGGTTGGCAGCAACGAGCAAAGTGGTTCCTTTTTCCACATTTGGCGCATTTCCGTCCCCACGCCGGACACTGTTCACGAGAGTTCGGGTGTCGCGCGCACAAAATTTGCTGATATCCTGTCTCTCGTTAGTAGTCTTTGCTGCTTCGCCTCCGGAAACGGCACACAAATCTGCATCGGTTGCGAGTTTCATTTGTTGGTATTCATAGATGGTCGATGACTCAATGTTGCAGAGATCCATGCACTGCCCAAGCGATAAGTTTCGTTGTCGAAAAAACCGCCTTGTCGTACTTCCATCATTGATTCCCAGAACGATCTGATCGCGTATGAGACTGTCGCGCATGCATTTATGGAAATTGCAGGATCGTGCCAAAATCTTCAATTCAATGGTGTACGCGTCGACGGATTCCTTTTGGTCTCCGTTGCGCGAAAAAGAAAGATAGCGGTTGTAGGTCCCGTTGGTTTGACCTTCCTAAAATCCACTGAACTTTTCAATGACCGCCTCCAAATCATTGGGATCTTCGCCTTTGTCGTAGTGCAATGTCTCTAGAACATGGAGTGCGTCATCCCTGCTGCGTGTCGAAACATGTCCAACCGATACGCCATCGGTTGCTCTTCCAAACGTACTAATGTGCAGAAATCCAGTCACTAGCTCCTTCATAGATGCCAATTACTCGCCAATTTCCGTTCATACATCTTTAATGGGGCACGCATCTGTATAGACGCTGGTGATCCGAACAGCATCCGACCGCCGCCGGTGGGGTTCGTCCTTGTCTTCTCCGACACCATGTTGCAGAACTCAGTCCTTCAGGGACAAGCGTTTATTCGGCAAAAACAACTCGGCGAAAATTACAGCACGTTTGACAAGCCAAACTTCTCGATATAAATTACGCGTTCACGTCCATAACTAACGACCCTTCTGAGGCAATGAGGTACTTCCTTTGACTCAGTTAAACAAATGATGAGTAACTCACATGGATGTTGACCAATCCATGTCCACCAATCAAATCAGATGCACCCGTCGACCATTGGCTATCAGGCTCGCTCGGTTAGTACACCCTTTCACCCTGATATGACACTCCCATCACAGAGGCTATTCGACACCACTTGTGAGCAGCATTTCTCTAAACAGCTACGGAGATGCTTGGAGAGAAAGTCCTGTGAGCATGTTAGGCATCTTGATTTCGTCTTGTGATAAACTTATTTTTCGGTAAAGAGTTCAGTGACTGGATGAATGTTTGCTCGGTCTCGGAACCTGAAAGGAATTGACAATCATGTGATAAGTTCCACAACAATGCAGATGAGTTTGCAGTAAATTCTTTGTTACAGCTCCAGTCTATCGCTTGTCCACTGATACTAAGAGGGTTGTTCACCTCATTGGCGCGCCTCTGCTTGAGAAAATACAATGTGAACTACCGGATGCGTTGACACTTGGATATTCGTGGTAATCTTTGCCTAAGGTTCTCTGTTGAGATGTGATGCACTCGGTACCTCATTCTGACCTTCACTGCCATAATTCATCTGATTGGCGCTTTATCCGCTTCCTCTTCCCCGTGTTCCTCACCAGGAGATGCTTGCCACGTTGAACCAACTCAAGGTTGACCTTGACGAGCTTCGGAAACCGGACAATTCATCGGACGATAATAAATTGCTTGCTTCTTCCGAACCGATAGTGACGCATCTCTCCTCCTTACAAGATCGTCACAGAGGTGTGGTCATGATTATCCTGATTGCACTCGGACGATTGGAGGATGCTCTACCATTGGCACAAAAACTGGACGGTCTGATGACAAATTTGGACAAACGCGTCTCAAGCATTGAAGAGGTCATGGACTACTTAGACACTACAGACTGTCCTACCTCACGAAAAGATATGCTCCAGGTTAGCTGTGTAACTGGTTTAAAGTAGTGTATAACACTTACTTCTGGAGAACTGATCAAACACCACTACTCCAATTCCTTTTCTTTCATTAGCGTGCTTATTCGAGTCTTCAGGAATTGTGTGAAACTGTCGGCTTGTTTAGTGATATCCGCCATGTGTTGGAGAAGCTCAAGCCGTTGACGATGACGCAGCCCACCGAATCGTCCCCGGAGTGCATTGCGGAAATCGAGCGACGTATAGAATGCGTGTTGGCAACGAAAGAGGCTTTTCAGTCACAACTGGAGCAAGCTGAATTGGCCTCGAAGGATCAACTGACCGAGAACACGACTGTGGCTTCGGTGAGTCCAAGCTGCGCTTTCATTCTGTTACACAACTGCCTACTCATGCACTAGTGAGACTCGTGAAACATTCTGCAGGCTGTGGTAACTCGGAGAGACGGCTATCTTTTGCTTTCTGTGCGTCTTCTCTAAAGAATGTTGGACATTTGTGTCGTAAACTAATTTGTATATGGATTACACACTCGGAATACCACATGACCTTGTGAGGACTGTTTGAACTTAACCAATTGCAATAAGTTTCATCGGGTGAATTTTTGACGAAAGTACCTTATTTTACTTGACTGAATCGCGGTAGCATTGCACTGTAGGTTATGTTTGTGATTTTACTCGAGGCCAACTGATTAGCTAGGACGGATGGGAATCAGGCTAATGAAGTCAAACGGTACTACGAGTCATGAACCACAGACTGTCGCTGACACCTTTGATTGTTTGCGCAAGTTCTCTGCTTGCGAAATTCTAAATGTAGTGTTTACCTTACGGTGGTCTCAAATGCTGTTGGAATGCATTTTGAATGTGGTCTTCAGACCCCATAAGGGTACATGATGTATTTTTGTTTTATGTATGGATTCTACATCGAGTTTCACTGAGTCGGCATGATTTGCTATTATCTCACTGGGGGATAACGTATGATAACCGGTTATCAAGCGCACCCCGGTGCGCTGTTGAATGTCTTGTTACATATTCGCCAACATTTTTGACCACCAAATGGCCGGCACAGTTCACAAAATTGATGGATAACAGACTGCGTTGGATCCTTTGCCGAGATGAGTATGAAAATGTTCTAACTAAATCTGCAATTCTACCAAGGCGCCGTTGCAACGTGAAGAGTTCATCGAAAACTGTGTGCGTACCCTCCATTTAACCAAGGCTGTCCTTAGGTCCAAACTATAGCAGTGTCTGTATATAGTTAATTTGGGCAATTGTTATCCTGTTGTTTGTAGATCGCTACACAGCTGATTCAGATTATAAAAAGTCAAATACACACCTTTTCCATTCAGCTAGGTGCAGATTTGTTTTGGATGAGTATCGGTCGTTATATTGGTGACGTTTTTCAATGGGGCTAAGCTGTTTAGATCATGGCGCTTCTTTCATAGCTGGCAGATCTCACCGCCTCCCGAAATCAAGTTATATTCTAAAGTGTACGTTTTACTTTATAGTGTATTCCCCGTCAGTGTGGACTCGAGCCATTGACAGCTCACCACTTAAGCGCTAAACAGTTACCATTCACAGAAGCGTGCTGACTGTGCGTCAACAGAACTTTACTTTGATCTGGTGCAGCTATACTGACTTAAAGGAAGGACGAACTCTGATCTCAATGAATCTGGTAATTGTAATATTTCTTGAGAATCGGATGCTTAATTATTGTCTAAGCGAAACGTGAACCCAAGCTGCGGAAATCATAATTTCCACAGCTGCAGTTTCACGCTCACTTGTTGTGGTAACCGCCATCGCTTTTCTTGCAACGCACTTGACTACTACGGCTTCCTAGTCGAACTCGGTTCTTGCGAACTGTGTCTTACGTGGAAGGGCTGCTGATCGTCAGATTGATATACCCATGTGACTTTTCCGCCCAGCTTTCTACCTCGCTGTCCAGAACAAACACACATGCCGCACGACTACTCGCAACACGCCTTTACAGACCTAGTCGAAGGCCACACGCGTTTTGTACACCTGTTGGTTCGTAATCGGATGATGGTATTACTGGCACATGATCATGATAAATGAAGGTGGTTATTAAGGGGGACTAAATAGCATCAGATAGCGGTGTCGCTGAAGTTGTCACACAGATGACGAACTGGCAGCAGTGTCTCTGAGGAGAGAACGGAGGCAACTGTCATCTGTTAACGTTGTCACCGCTTAGACATTGCATAGACGTCACACAACAACAGCATGGCGGAGTTAATGGTTGAAAAAGGCTTTCGGTACGAAACATTTTTGCACCCATGAGGTCTTAATAGTACTTTCATCCCTCCAATTTCAATTAACGCATTTCTATTGTTTATTTACCTGACTGTGAGAGTAAAATATGCGCGACTTTCATCAAACTTCTGGGGTATAGTTAGAATACTTTGACAAAGGATGAACGAACTAACCTAAAGATTCCGGGCTGTCAGCAAAAAGCTTTGGCTGCAGCACCGTAGTGCATATAGGGAACCAATTTGCTATCGCGACTCATCTTTACCGTCACAGTTGTTACACGCTCAATCCAATGTTTCCGTTCAGCCAACCTATCACACAACACTTAATTTCACCAACAGAATGGCCGCCACCTCTTTATCCTCTTGCTCGTTGAGTAGCATGTGTTACTATGAATACTCGTTCATTAAAGAAGCCTATAGACTACACAGTAGGATTAATGCTTGCTATCTGGCTAGATATGGGCATTAAACCCACGATATGAAGACGGGCCGAGTACTTGCTTCAATTCCCCATTTACCTATTACCCATTTCATACAGTCCGATTTTGTATCACATGAACATAAGGAACTTTCGATACATCTGGCTTCTAAACTTATAAAGAATTTGTCTTATTCTTATGTCCTGGGCTAATTCATCAAATTTGAAAGATTTGTCACACACCGCCGGAATTTTTTATCCGTATACTTTCGGTTTTCCGTCCATCCGTTCTTCTTTAGCAACCGCCGGCGTCAGCTGTTGGGACAACTTCTATCGGTTCAAAACCAACCATGGGCCAGCTGATCGATTCATTGCTCGCACCCGACGCGCAGGTCTCCTCGTCCATACGTGACTTGGCACGCGAAATTCGTGATCACTTCAAGGGCATGGTCTTGTTCAACAGATATTGTTTGGGAACCAACGCTCCACCGCCTTTGCTTTCAGCAGAATTCGACGATGTGAAGTGCTATTCATGGGGCGCGAAAGATTATGAAACCACTGTGGCAGAGCGTATAGCCATAATCAAGGTAAACTTACTTGTTACTTAACCCCCTATTCTGTAGGTGTATAATTCGCGCCAATTTTCGTCTTCACCAAGCCACAGCGTGGTGTGTGGGTTAACTTCACCACAGTCATTAGCCATCGCTCTATAAAGCACTATAATTTTGTGTAGTACTGGATCGCACAAATCCTACTGCATGCAGCTACCGGAAGAACGTCCGTAATCCTATTTGCTTCGATAACTCCAATAACCTATACCACTGTTCCGCACTGACAATTTTTCTTTGCGAGGAACATATTCCATCATATTTTCAGTGAGAACTTAAAATTATCTATCGATTCATTACCGTAGACTGAAGGTGCGACATCCTCGTCACGGGTTTCAGGTGGAACAATGTTTCTTTAGAAAATTAGTCTTGATGTTTTCATCCCCCTTGGCATTGTGAATTTGTCTACCTAAGAGATAAGCATGGAGACCTGCCCAAGACATTGAGTGTTGATGTCTGTCAAGCGGGTCACAAATCTGTGATATCTGATATGTATATCGAGGCTCAGAACCGTGGTTAAGAGTAAGTTACCCAGCAAAAGTCAACATCTATGCAACGTGAGTAATAGATATGAAGTAGTCACATGTGTCTGTTGGGAAGTCAAAGGAATCCCGGCTGCGAATTGTACGTACAATCAGAAGGTTGGATTTCTCATTAAGAATAAGTTTTCGCCCCTAGGAATCGGTTTGGCCTATTGTTTCCAGAAAGATTATGATCAAAATAGTTTTGCTGGCTTCTCTACTTGAGCCTTTCGGTCACAAAACGCGCACTTATGTGTCTGGGGGGGGGCTTGGTGAATATGTGTAAATCATTAAGTTAATAAAGTTAATTCGAGTGAGTGGCTTTTCTTTCGGTGAAACTGCCTCGCGTTCCCGATGAGCAATCTCTTCGTACTATCGGTGTGCGGTTTGGGGCGATTTACCGGGGCTCAAACGCTTACGACATCTGTGTTATTTCCATCCATCAGGTATTTCACAGGTTCTCTGAAAACGTGAGTATATCCACCAGCTTTGCTCGTGTGTTTCACCCAGTCGTTTTCTCATCTTTTCGTTGCGTTGCTTTTCTGATTGCTTCTCGAGTTTCGTATGCGTCTGCTTGAGTACCTCTTTGCTTGCTCGTCGAATTACAAGTGTGTGATAACGCATCTTTATACTACCCTAGTATATATATATGCATACGTGTACCTGTTGGATTCTGTATCTGTGTGCACTTGTGTGCTTGTTTCGGTGTCCACATATATGTCCAACTGCACCAATTTATACTTCGACTCCATTGTATCTTACAGAATAACTTGTTGCCACATAATGTACTAGCTCCTTAATCATTGTCAATGAATAAAGCAAAGTTCTCTCTAAGGATTGCTCTCTTCGGGTGCTTTTCAGATGAAACGGCCGCACCAAAAATATCCTCATTCAACGAGGTTTGATGCTCCAGTGTAGTAATGAGTGGGCTTCAACTGGATGATGTGTCTCAGATTACCACTTTCAGTTGAAGTGTTACCTGCATTATCAGTCTTTTTGATCATAATACTTCTTTTGTCTTGTTATGCTGATGGGTTGCGTTGTACTATCTTTTGGTTTGAGCAGCAGCTATTTGGGCTACACCTCTCACTCGTATGCGTTCTTTATACCATCACTATAGATGAGTCAGCAGATCAGGTGGTTTGCAACTTGGAATAACCGGATTGCTTGTCGCAATTTCTGCGTACTCTGATGTCGTCACTCACATTGGCTACCCGTTTTACCAACAACAGCTAACCTAGTTGCGTTTCATGTAGAGGCGCGTTACTGCAATCTGTCAGCCGTTATAATTTGAAAATCGCCAAATCATTTGAGATCTTCGCTTAGCTGAAGCATTCTCAACCGCTGTATCGATCCAGCGAACTGACCCTCTTCCCACTTCGGGAAGGCAACGCAGCGGTAACACACGGAAACATAGGTATTCTACTGGGGAAATCAGGCTGTTTATGATACAGCCGGCACTAACGACTTAAGAAAACACTCAACTACGCAAGACAGAAATACGTAGCCAATTTAGGTACCAATCAGGTGTAGCGTTAAACTCCATTGCAAACTGTGCTTCTTTTAAAGAGCTATTTAATCTAAACTGATAATCGGACGGTACAAAACCGCGTATTAAAATAGTTATGGTGGGATTGGGGAAACAGTATTAACCTTTCTCATGACGAACTTTCCTATCAAGTCCACCTGAAGTTATTGTTACTATGTCATCAACAACATTTGCCTCATTCCTCTCGTTGCTCGGATCTTGGACCGTGTGTATACAATAGTCAATGATACTGTGGACTTAACTAAGGACGCGTTACGGTGTGGTCGCCTATTCTATCCCCAATAAGGAGTAAACAGAATTCGCACCCATTCGGCGTCCAAGTTCTGGAGGCTCTGGACTGCTTACTGGTGCACAGAACCGGACCGTCGTCAAGCCGAGACCTGTGTCGCTATCGAGGGTTTGACCTGGCCCAGTGGCATGATCTACATGGCTGAGTATTATCCTAACGATTGCACCGGACCTACTTCTCACTTACCCGAATCACATGAATGCCTGTATGCCTTCTGTCTGTTGTTGCGGTGCTGCTTACACAGTTAGATCGGCGGAAGGTAGAGCTTGAAGTAACCCATCAAAATCAATATTTTCCACGTTAAATCACTGCGATGCAATCGAATTTTTGATATCTGATTCCCTAATCGAAACTTAATGTCACGTTAGGTTTACGTATCACAGCGCTGTTAGCCTTACAGCGAGAAGACAGAATGGCTTACTTGAAGTGGAATGTAAATACTGTTGTCACCGTAAAAACAGGTAGTGTGCTAGCCATGGCTAGACGCTTCTTGGTAGTGTATGATTATAATCCATGAATGTAATAAGTCCAACTATACTGCACACCCAATCTGCTCAGAACACATGTTGCACGAGGCTTTTATGTGTTTGGTGTCGAACTAATTTAGATCTATTCGTTTCGCGGATGGCATGCGTAAATCATTGTATCCTTGTTTATTTAAAGTATTTTCAGCAACAGCGCGAGCACCTAAATGATCGACTGAAAGAGATGATTGTGAATGCGGACGGTGATCGAACTGCTAACAGGTTAGAGAACCTGTTGAACCTCCAGGTAGGTGCACCTAATTAACAATTTCTGTATAATTTTAATAATACAGTATTATTACTTTCGCACATACTGTCTTATACCGCTTTGTGCTGCTTATGGGTGGCTCGCAATAGTTGTGTATATTTCCCCTCTCAAGACTTACGGTTACATAGCGATGAGTAAAAATACGCCAACTTATTGTTCTCAAACTTCTCCAAACTTCTCCAAAGCATTTTTACTGAATAGTATAATCTACAGCGATCACTAAGCATCTTTTGTTTAAACGGTGTTGAAACTCTGATGGATGCATGGCATTTGCACATCTGATTTGCACGGCTCCAATTGCTATGTGATTAACTATTCATTTTTTACACCAACAACCCACCGCAATATTGTTCCTTTTCACTGCAGACAATGTGGCGCGAGACTAATGAACAGATAGACCGCCGAAATGGTCACATGGTTTTGTTGGAACACCAGCTAAATTCTGCCCAAACAGCCATATCTGAATATGCGGTACGTTCACGAGCTTATTAAATGCTTTCCTTCGCAATCATAGGCTTTTTCTACCATTTTCTCACTGCGGTTGTGCATTTATGCTAGATGAAATTTTCCGTCTCGAAATCCTGGGGCCTGTTCCCAGGGGTGGGGCGTCCCACGCGCCTAAGCACAGCCAGAAATTCGGAGAATTTTTCTGCTTGTACCACACTACGGTGCGAAGTTTGCGTTCTGTTAATCTACGGAAGTGGTGCATGAGCACTATCCAATCTACATCGACGTCCAATGGCCTAATTGCGTGAGCACGCCTTTTCATCTATAAGCACTTTTCTAATAACAACCTTGGCTTCTCTATTGAGCAAACGCTTCCGTTTCAGCCCCAACAGAATACATTTGAGGGCTGCGATGTTTGTCGTCAAACAAATACTTCATTTTTCCTCCGACGTAATCATTTGGCACCGTGGGTACTTAGTCGGTTATGTTTATACACTGCTGATAGGGTTTGTAAGCGTACACTTTGTAGCGCTGCACGCAAACCTTGTGTCAGTTTTACTTGTTGGTGCAAATTCGGAAAATTGTGACCCACGTAAATAGACCCTATGGGCTCATTTTCTGAGCCAAAGAGCACTTCTAAGATATCATCACCAGTCACCTACATCGGCAACTGTCGTGCTGTAGTAGACAAAACACAGGCATGTGCGTCCAGTAATTTTGCCACGCATCTGAATCACGTAGGTCCATTACCAGTGCGGCTGGCAAGCAGACGAACGAATACAACACTAAGTTGGTTTTGTTTCTAATGCGATCTAACTAACAACCAGGCGACAACATTTGTGAGAAGAGATATGGAAATATCTGTCATTAACGCCAGGCTGCGACCGTGCATCGATGGCGGAGGCTTAATTTATTGGAAAACGCGGAACATACCAGGGTTCGGGGTGCATCAAATCAGTAACAATATGGTAAATCGAGCAGTGACCAGCGAGGCATTCCATTGACGTATGCAAACACGCAATCGGATCAAGCGAAAAGATTACCTGTCCAGAAGATAAACCACACGGCTGGCACCGGCGGATGAAAAGTCACACATCAACTACTCAAGTGTTGAACGGTGTACCGGATCAGAGTCCGAAAAGATCAACCGCACGAACAATATGGATGTAGCTCGACACAGTGATAACGACTAATTCCGTAATTGTTTGTACGACAGGGACAAAGCAGAGCGAAGTACCAGACGTGAAAATCATATACTTATCAAAAACAGGGGAAATGACCGCATTTCACAACTCTTCACAAGTTTGGACCTCTTCACTGCATAAATTACTTGGCTGATCCGACTGACATGAGAACAGCGTTGTAACGTCATTACTGTTGTCCGTGGGAGTGAAGAGCCAGGCACTTATCATATGTGTGAAAGTATCAACTGTGCGTACAACACAGTCCAAACTGATTAGAGAGACACTACCTCAAATCCGAACGAAAACATTAGGATTGTTGAGGAGAATGGAGGAACAGATAGTGGTATTTTTCAGGAGTATGTATGTCAAGTTGGCTTCCGCAAAGCTGTGCATTACCGTACGGCCTCCTTGTTAACCTTGTCTATGTGATGTTGTAATTGAATTGTTGTCCGGTTCACTCACAATAATCCCCAACCGCGTGTTTTGTGCTGACATATAGTTTCCAGCATTTTGGAAACTACCGGAGGAACAGACACCTTTGGTCATCCGGCTCATTACAGTGTGTTCTTTCTTTGATTTGTCTTCCACTGAGTTTAACCTTCTCCTCCTATGAAGATGGAAGTCTTTCATCGAGGTACCACCTGAGTTACGTGTAATTACTGAAGATCCTCCCTGACAAGCCGGTGTACTCGTGAAACATTGGCTCATATTCCACGCTCACGGAATTATGTCATGCTCACACCACCTTAAACCGTGTTATTGGCAATACTTCGGTTCTCGACATTGCTATCTAATCACACAAGTTAGACATCTTCAGCTTAGAAATCGGCACTTAGTTTATCTCACTGTTATGCTCTCCGGCTAAACACGTATGCATGTTTCATGTACAATTCCAAAAGCGAAATACGTACTGCGCCAAAGAAAGATGTGCATTAATTGCGGGCAAATAATTAATGTGACTTTTACGGCACACTGCATCACTCAGGGTTTTATTTCGATGGTCAACAACCCTTCGATTCAGCCCTTATCTACCAGGTAAACCCGATTACTCTGTGATTGCATGGTTACCAAAATTTGCCCAATTCAAATTGGCGTCGCGGCCTTCTCACCATCCGAAGTACTTACATCTGTTTAGTTGCATTGTTTAACAGCTGACTTGTTGTAGCCTGTAGGAGTGACATTTTATTTAATCTACTTTAAGGTGTCAACCATCGGCACGCAGTAGAAATATGCGTATTTTAACCATCATACCTTATAATTTGCCTATTGTATCAAACAGTGTCTCCTTGACATTTAGCCAACGCAGCACCACCAAATGTGGACTAGGTAATCACTTTGTTAAAGATTTGGGAATGTAATTATCCATCAATTTAAATGCTGCGCTAGCCGGTCACTTTTCAAACAAAGCTCCGTTTCCTTGGCGGGTAGTCGAGATGTGAATAGGATAGTATTGGCGCTCTTTTCAAAATGCCTGTTTATGTGGCACACTAAGAATGGGAAGACCCGAAGTGGTAAACATTAAGAGGTCATCATATATGAATGAGTCCTTGTCAGTGGTGAGGGGGTGCTTTGATACTCACACAAGAAGCGTGATCGATTGCATGCCAATCATATTTTAGTGTCCATTGTTCTACTTTCGCGGATTGGGGCACGCGTCTTGTGCTTAGGACAGTGTATATTTGAACAATCTAATGAACGGCGGAATTCAGGGACCTCAATGTTACAAACTCGAAAGCTTGTCCTATCGATAGTATGTGAACAAATCCTTCTGCATTCTAATCAGAAGCCAATTTGTTACTTTATTCTTACATACATTTTAGCGTGATCCAACAGCGGAGAAACTGGCCAACAACATGAGTATAATTGAACGATTAGAAAACACCTATTGCTGGAAGTTGACCGCCGACCGGGAACAGCTTTCGCAAATGATTACCTCGAACAAAGATGCATCACGCGTTCTCACCGTTGATAAAGGTACTGGTGTCAATAAAGTCTTTGAGAATGACTCTCTTGGCAAATATGAATTTACATTGAGGACCATGGCACGGTACCTGAACGATGTTGAAGTTAATCTGGACCGATTGAACAGGGAACAAGCTACGACGGACCTTGGAAAAGTAATTGGAGTGAGCATCTGATTCGTTGTGTCAATGTCAGCTTTTATCCTATATTAATGACCTCGATATGCAAGACTTTTCAGCCGCGACCTAGAATACACTCAACGATAATGTCGTAATCTCATAGCGTTTTTGAGGTGACACTGTCGTTTCGTGCATTCTCGTCGGCTACGTACATGCATAAATGACAATGTCATCCCACAAACGTTTTCTGATTTCCCTATTTGGGATTATAAAGGGACGAGTTTCGGAACTGTTCTCTCACAACATTGCGCAGCAGCTCCGAAACTCTCCACTTTGAAATGGAAAAGGTTTGTTTCAAAGCAAACTGTGGCCTCAGTTGCGAGTACGTGTTGCCATCGCCACGCGGCGTGTGCTCCAAGACCCAACAATTGCGCATTTCATGTTTAGATGTCGTAATAATATTACTACTGAAAGTAGTATGTAAATTTTGGTAATCTATTTAGACCTGCCTTATCGCTGCCGTTTTCGTTACCAACGCGATTTGGATTGGCTATGCCCAGCACCAGTTTGACTCAACAGTCAGTATTTAAACTAGTGTAGCTTTTCAATAAGTTTGAACTTGTACCTTGAGGTCGTTGACAAATTTCGTCATTTATGTCCGTAACTTTCTGGATTCGGTTATGTAGGGAATATCCCAACGCTAGTTCCGACTCATTTTGACAAAAAATCATTGCCGAATGAAACGGGACTGCAATGCCAAGTAGTAACGTCCAGAATTCTTAAATAAAGAAGCGTTTAAAGAGTAAAAATTATCCAAGATTATTTGCATGCAAAATACAGCCAACCTTCGTCTATTGAGACTGCTGCTGCTGTTGCTGCTGCTGCTGCTGCTGCTGCTGCTGCTGCTGCTGCTGCTGCTGCTGCTGCTGCTGCTGCTGCTGCTGCTGCTGTGTGCCATTAGAGAACCAGGGCGCAACTGATGCACAGTTTGTTATGCTCATTGACGATATCCAGTGTGCAATTTCGCCATGGGTACATAGCTAGGGCGGGCACTGTACAACACAGTTACGTGATAAATGTGCAGTCATCGTTGTGAATGCGCACGTGATACTTTGTGTCCAATAAACGTTGACTACAGTAGGGGAGGGAACTGATACAGAAGTGATGTGTTACGCTTCAATCTCCAAGCTCCGATTCTACTTTCGCCTGCATTTTTATTGTCGGGGGTTTAGGATACACGACAAAGTGTGATGGAAGAACGCACCTGAGAGGAAATCTAAGGATGATTAATAGAAAGATCAAATTGAGGAGAATTGAAATCATAGTGTTGAAGCACTCCTCTGTGCCACCATCATGGGCTGTACCGATGCTATTACCTAACCTGGTGACTAAGTTTTGCTATCCATGCACCCAGCTCAGACTGCCTCCATAGGAAGTGCAGACTTAGCGAATTGGAGGATGTATGTGCGATCTTCGGTGAGCGCCCATTCCCTTGGGGTCATCGCGTTGTTTCTACCTAGTTATGCACGACAAAGTAGCTAGTTTCGCATATTTGAATCGATAATTATCGATTATAAACATGCCCATTCTCTCCCTTGAAACTGTACAACAGATACAAATCGACTTGGTCGCTTTTGACCTCTTGTGATCTGGTTAAAACGAATGTAGGTAGTGCACTTCACTGGTGCAGATGTGTGACGCGAATTGGACTTTTGTTCAGTCTATGATCAGCCCAAAACATGACATTTTCTTTTAACTAGGCTGGTATCAATGCAAATAATGCCTTCCATTTAGTTCTGTTCAACAGGGGGATAATCGGGTAGATAAATTTGGGTGTATCCAATTTCTACAGCTTTAATTCAAAATAATCATGCAAGCATGGGAATAGAAACATCCATTTTTGCACACACCAACCCATTGTATGTCAGCATGAAGAGTTCGCATACTTTTGGGAACTAACTATATTGGTTGGCGTTCCTCTAGTAAAAATGAGCACTTTTGTATGTGGCGTTCCGATTAGTGGAAGCCCCCACCCCTGTGCAGGTCTGTCATTGCTGGCCAGTTTTCACACAAAGTTTCGGCTAGATCGAAGCTTCATTTTTAACAGTTACACGTGATTGTTAGTGAAGGAGATGACTAAGTATAGGTTGTACTCTGTCACTTAATTCAAACCCAAACGTTCAGAACTGACATATGCTTGACTCCCATCTAAAATGATGTATCAACCTCGTTCCTCTTGAGGCGATAATTGACAGGGAATCTACCCATGTCTTATCACCACCTACGTTACCAAATCCAATAAGCTTCATGTGGTTGATAGAGTAGACCGTGTGCAGTCTTCGTGAATGTACCACGTTCAAACTGTGACTTCACCATGATACTGACCGCGACCCAGATATCATATCGTAAGCTTAATTCTCCTAAGATTTTATAAGTTGTTTGCTGCCGAAGGAGCGTCGTACTTTCTCGAAACAACCGCGGTTCTTATCGGTATGTCTTTTAGCCTTTTTTCTTTGGAGCTACACTGACGATAATGTGCGTAGGTAGCTCAGCGGAAACCGCCTATAGTTCTGTGACTGTTTGTGATGGCAGTGACAGCTAGAACCAGTATTGGATGCCCTCGTCAATAGATGTATAACCATCTTGCTTACTAACTAACTAAATAAATGCTTATTATCGATAAGTTTGCGATTAACTGCTTGGTCTCATACTGCGCGTAAGCTAGTTACGAAACACGGAAAACTTTAAATGACGAAACTTACCGAGTTTGAAAATATCCCCATCAGTACTTTTGTGATACAGTCAGCATTGGTTGTCTTACTAAGCTGTCCTTTCATGAAATGTTTAACTGGGATCGACTGCTACACTGTTTGTATCACTACAGTGAAATGGGAGAAATGATCATTGATCGTAAATCAGGTTATCCATAAAGGACAAACAGTTATTCAGGTTCAAGCTAGCTGTAACACAGCCTTATTTTTATGTCGCACCTCTCCAAACCTCCCGATAGCAAAAATGTCACCCTTTACTGAGCTTGACAACTACAGCCTACTATATAGGGGATCTGTAACCCATGATATGTGTCGGAATTATTGACAATTATTATGAGTACTCTATGTGTGCCCACTACCTCACATATCGTAATTGCTATTACATTTGATGTAGGATTTGGAGAACCGCTTTGACCAGTGTTTTCGACTGATGACCGAAGCGGAGGAGAATCTGAACGAAATCCGGAACAGCTTGGGAAAAGATGAACCAAGAGCCAACGAACGACCTGACAACCGATTAGTCTACGATGATGAACATATTTGGCTGAAAGTGCTATTGGACGCCCAGAAGTATCGGCTAAATGCTTACTTTGCCGATTTTCGAACACACCGAAGGTAATAGCCGAATTTTGTAACCAATTTAACTTTTAATCCTCAATTATCTCTTTTCCGGAGCTCGGTCGCCCTATATAGCTTGTAGCATCATGCTAAACTGAAACAGTGGGGTGATAGAATGAAGATTTGGAGGAACGTTCTCCCCTGGATCATGTACATAATTTCATGGGCTGTGGCGCCCACCTGCTTGCTTGTCGACCTTTACACAAGGGATTTTCTGGCCTGGTCAACAGATGCCGCAACCTTGATTGTTTTTGGATGGTGGTTTGCTATTCACATCCCAATCATCATTATGAATGAGCAATATGCCACAAGTAGTTGAATAACGTTACGGTTCTGTTGCAGCTTATGATATAAGCTAGAACTGAAAGTTAGAAAGTGTGCATTTGATCATAAAAGAAATTGAGGGGGCGACCGATTGTGTTACCAACGAAACTACTAATTTGTCACATGCAAAGATGTCGGAAACAGCATAAATGCACCGCAGAAAACAATTTAAATTTTTGTCTCATTGCTTGTTTCTCATGAACTGAAGTTAGTTACAACTTAGGTCCACTTGTGTTGAATTCCAAACTTTTCGCGATTGCTTCCCAAACACGGCTCTTCTGGATTGGCCGACATTCGGCACAGCTACGCTCAACCCAGTCTACCGTAAGTCCACCACGCCTGAACGGTCAATATTCCACCTCCTCCCAATTCGTTAGCAATCCCCAAACAGACTAGTCTTCATAGTACGAAATCCTTACTCACCGAATGCTGCACGGAGCATTAACCAGAGAATCGAATGTACTACCTATGACATGTGCGTAGCACGTGGACTGGTGTCTCAGGCGACCTACACTACACCTCCGCATTAAAATCCTTTCATCATCAGCCTCCGACTGGTCTTCGGTTTTCGCCCCCTTGTGGTGTAGCGTGTTGACCTTATCGATTCCGCTGTAGATTTTTGGCCTAGCTACCCTTCCGATTGGCAAAATACGAATGTCGCTGTGATCTTTCTGGTGTTCTCACCAACCATATGAGTGATCGGTATTGGTTTTCGCATAGCCTCAGGATACTATGGCAACTGACTATGGCGCTGACTATGTTACTCAATAACGCCGTGGCGATCAACCGCTGATTCTTCTCACGAAAGGCATCGGTGTCACTATAAGTACCTGCTGCTTAAGTTTCCCCGTTTGCGTGCGCCGAACTGCCCTGCAGTCAAGAATGACCAACTGTCTTTATGATGGGCCTCTCAGTTTGGCTGCTTCGTCGAAGTGTTGCCTGATTCAGCTTTGTCATCCTGTGATACGGAGGGTCACCAAAAGCCATGTAGGTGTAAACGTGCTGAGACTTGTGTTGTTATGAAATTTTCCCTCTCTCGCTTTGGAACAACACCCAGTCACACACAGTTTGCATCGTCCGTTGATATTCATTACTTCCAATTCGAAGGAAGCGTCTTTTCTTGTAGTTTGACTTATCCCTAAGTGGATCATGTGTGCCACCTGGAAAAATTCGCCAAGTCATTAAAACAAGTCTTTTCAGATGATGTAGGAGCATTACAAAGACTGCTCTTTTCGGCTTTCATTGCTTCTCATCCCCCTCTCCACCACCCGCATGTCTTCACGTCTCTTGGCTATCGCGCTGGCTTGCTCAACGCTGTCATACTGTAAGTTATTGCGACGCTAGAACAGATGCTGCTTTGTCACCAAACTCTGTTACCTTCCAACTAGTACGTCATCTATATTTCAAAGCGAACTGATATCCATAAAAGATAATTCTGGCTTTTTCTTTTACATGTATTCGGACATCAGTTCGCTTCCGCTGACTTGACATTCTTACTTGGGTACATCAGTGAGAGTCAGCATGTGTTCGATTTTGTTAACATATGCTCGCTGTTTGTGAACTCTTGTTCCAACAAACTATCCCCTTGCGATCCTGCCTAGTTGCGGTCAACTTCTTACTTTTTCGCTCAGTATACTGACGAATCCTATTCTTTTACTCTTACATGAAGTAAAAATAACCTCTGTTAGACCCTTTCGATGTCACAATTACCACCACCTTAGAAGCAATGATAATGTTTTCGGCCACATATGTTGTACGCGCCACAGAGAGATTTCCCAGTTAAAATCTAACTTGTTTGTTTTCATCCTCACTTGTTGTGAATCTCTTGTTGCCCATAACTTATTGCTAGTATGGAACCTGTGCTGTGCAGTGACCATATTGTGGTATCGCGGAATATACACAAACGCACACAGTTTCACGCTGCTACTTAATTTTGGCTTCTTTGGGATTTAAGAAGTATTTTAACGAATAATCTAAATTGTTTATGGTGCAATATGTACGATCACAGCTAACCTGTCTGTCACACCTGGTGAAATATTTAACACCTATGTCCGTAAACGATCACTTTTGCCCATTCAACACGTTACTGTGACGAAGCACTCTCTGCATAGCTAGTATGAAAGGACCAGGTCCCTTTGCGCACTTTAATAGGATGCCAAGCTGCCTTTAGTTTTTATAACCACCATGTCAAACATCACGCAAGGATTCCCACGCTGTATCATGACAGTCCCCAGCCAACTTAGACACAGTAATTTCTCTCTACTTCAAGGTGTGCATTTTCCTGACTACTTTTTCCACTGCGAAATGAACTCTCCTGTGTCCTTCCCTTCCCCTGTCTTGTACAACAGTATGTGGCAGCTCCGGCGGGACCAGTGGGATGCTCTTCGCACTCGACTGGCTCGCGTGAAGCATTTGATGGACGAATTTTGTGATTCGGAAGGAACTAAGCGATCGATTGCTGAATCAGAACTGAAGGTAAACTGTGTCCGAGCTTGTTCTCTTATGGTGTCGTGAATGAAATGCCGGTTTACTAAGTAGCCTCAGTAGCATTGTCCCTCCGGCCCTTGTGTTGACAACACTGCGCCATGCAACTCTGGCGCTGTTCTGTGGAGGATGAGAACGAAGTGAGTATGGAGTTCCAGGTCACTTTCCCAATCCTGGCTACAGTGTACTGATGAAAGGTACATTAGTGTCCATCACGTATTATGTGCGCACGCATTTTCCGTACATGAATCACTTGTTATGTTGTCGACTCCTGCTCACCTTGCTCCTGCCTTAGCTGTCCACACGTCCACAAATAATAATAATTACTTCCCTTGTGAGCAGCACAAAGTTCAATCTTTCCGGCTGTCATCGTACTTTTAACTCATCAGTGAATCGATGGTGCAGCAAAAAAGCTTGCTTGCTACACCGTCTTTTCATGACTAAAACTGGGAATTATTCACCATTTAATCATTAGATCTTTGGTTAGGGAGAGGGCCAAGAAGCAACATTGATACACTCATCTTTATCTTCAGGGAGGGTGTACGAGTTCCGATCCAGGCATACCACGTAATTTTAATATTCTTCGTCTGTGGCTCAAAGCGGCTTATCCCGGAAAACTCCTTAAATGTGGATACTCAAGTCATATCCCTTCCACATCTATCTACTGCTTTCACCACTACATCGTTAGTGCTGCTTCAGTTATTGTACTGTGGTCAGAAAGTCCCACAGAACCGAAAATCCATCCATCCGTGCACCAGAGTGTCATACAATACTCACTTTCATCGTATCATTCCGTGTTACTCGCCTACGTTGCCAGTGAGCCCGGGGGGAGCAAGGGAACCTCGATCCGCCATACAATACGACGCAGGATTTTATGGTGCATTCACTTCCCAACATGGCGATCTCTCCCGTTCGTCTTTTCCGATCGTTCCGTGCTTGAGTTCCTATCTGTGACCTCACGTGACCAGACAAGGACAGCGTTCGTTTGCAACAATGACTCTCAATGGGATTGCTTCCACCTAACAACAACTGTGGTGCACAGAAGTGCGCACGTCTAGTTAGAAGAGACAGTATTTGTGAGTTTTGCGGCCTTCCGTTTCACCCCATTCCGTTTCAACTATAATATAAGAGACAAAGCAACCTGGCTGATACGCTCTGGTTTTGCCAAACATACAGAGCAATCCCAATAGTCAACTCTCTAATATCGCTGGTGAATAAGTGGGCAAAACCAACTGAAACAGTCCAGCAGCTGGCGAGCTTCAGTACTTTGCCATTAGCATCTGACAACACCGATCTTCTTTTATAGCATACCCCTCAGAGCTCTGTTCCTACGTAGAAGGCTAAAGTCAGTCTTACTAACTGCCCAACGGTATCTGCGCCACCTACTCTGAAAATTACTAACCCTTTAAGTAGGTAAGCTACAACAGACGTGACTGTTATTAACTCATCCCTAGATGCCATATCTCACGAGTTGGTCACAACACCGAAACAGAGAGTCCAGAGCCGAGTAACCTACTCATCTATCGCTTTGCTAAAAATGCCCAAAAAGACACCCGTACGTCCGTTTTCCGGACCAATCACGAGCGTTGCGACGCCGTTTTTACAACCTTCTTTAGTGTCCGCCAAACGATCCAAGTTACCATCCACAACGCTCAAACCAACATTTGCTAAACGGAACCACAGGGCGTTAACGGTAGTGTGCATTAACGTTCCTGAGTCCAGATCTGGCACAATAAACGGCAAATTGGTAGACGATCACGACCAGTCGAATTTCATCTGCGATGCGATTGGTATTCAGCTTGAGCCAACCACGCTACGGCGCCTAGTCTGTCCCCCAAAATCCAGTGCACTACGCTGAACCCGATTTCTTCGAGTAACCTTGAACTCTACTGAGGAGACAAGGACGATCTTACACTCGGCAGTTCATCTTCGCAACTCATCGAGCGGCGTACGCATACTACCAGATATTCCTTGGAAAGGGTGATCAAAGGAAAAAGATAACCATGGCGGCCCTTCTACGAACAAAAGCAAAAAAATCGTATCTGTTATTACTGTTCCTAAACTACTGGGATCTCCTGACCACGAAGTGCAAAAACATGATCGAGAGCAGTGGTGCTACATCTGCAAAGCATTATCTGGTTGACATCACTAAATCATTAACGAGATTTCCTTCACCTCCAAATTACAAAGACTGCGGACCAAAAATATTGAAACTTGTGCTACACTCCGAAGGAATGACAGAAGTCCTATTGGATAGCTGGTTGTAGCCTCGCTCCAGGTTACATACTAAGTTTAGGCTAAAGAAAGTAGGCGTACGGCCACTATTTGTCAGCATTACATTGGAACATGCAACCTCAATAAAATATTTGTCTCTACAATTCTGTAGAGTTGTAGACAATATAACATTCGCAACACCTGACGGGACAGGAAGAAACATGAGAGAACATCTTGTTCTAGGACGCTCGTGCTACCACGCAGCCTGCCTGAAATTCAAGAATCAATGACCCACCCAAAAAGCAATTAGCGGCCGACAGCCAAAAGGTCGGCCTAAATTAAACACAAATTTGTTGTCCACCCACACCGTTCTAGCATCAAAAACATTATCATGTTTCTATCCTAACGCTCAAGATCTTCTTGGGAAATTGGCCTTAGAGAACGCCAAGCGTCACAACCGCAGTATCTCATTATGATTACACAGACCTGGTTAAGCCTTGAGTTAGCAGATTCTGAGGTCAATTTACCAGATATGTCTCCGCTTCGGAATGACAGAGCTGGAAGTGGTGGTGGCGTAATTCAGTATTACTAGGCTAACCTCAGATGTGAAGTTATTGACCACCCAGAGATCCGTGCCCCAGATTCTCTTTGGTGCCGGCTATGGTTACGGAACAATGGCACAAAGCTGTGATTTACCCTCCACCAAATTTTAAGTATGAAATAGACTCCAAACTGAACCACGTTCTACAGGTTGCTTTGAGAAAGTCATACAGTCACATTCACATCGCAGGCGACTTTAATGTGTACGATCTAGAAATAGCGGCGACCGAGAGCATGCAGTTTAAAGCCTGTTTACAAGAGGTGATTTCCAGCTACCCTCTGTACAATCACGTGACTTCCACCAGATTTCGAAGTGCGAAAAGGTCGTCTATACTACGTCTTGTGCTCACTAACGAAAAACTGATGGTTGACAAAATACCTATAAGCACATCACTGGGTAGCAGTGATTGTGTCACTCTACTGTTTAACTATGTATGTCATGCGGAATATTCTGGGGAAGAGGATGATAAAGTGTATGAGGTCACGCACTATAACATGTTATCTGCGCTTGCTAACGAGGCATCTTGGACCTTCTTAACTGATTGCCCCTCCCCAGAAATCGCTTGGAACACTTTCACATGGATATTTAGCACACTGGTAACGCACGCATCTGAGCAGAAATCCTTCCACCACCAAAGGAGAAGTAAGTCATTCCTGAGGAGCAGAACACACAAATGCATGTCCTTGAGGGACTTAGCATGGAGGGCTCACAAGGACTCTCTGAATTCCGAAAGCTGGACTGCCTATGTGGCACAGCGTAACTTCTCTGTGAGTTCGATCCGCGAGGACAAAGTGACGCATCAGCAGGAGTTAATGAAGAGATTCTGCACAAACCGCAACCTCCTATACATGCATGTTACTGGGCTTCGTAAGGTGCAACGCGGAATTCCAGTACTGATCACGACTAACGGGTGCACGCGATCAGCAACAGAAGCAGCCGATCTCTTATGGTTCCATTACTCACAAACGTTCCAGAGAGTAACGGGCCGCTTGGTGGAGAAGCATGTTCCAACAATATGGAAGCGAGGGGTCATCATTCCTATTCATAGGGGAGTTAGTCGCACTGATCCAACCAATTACCGTCCTATAACGATATTCCCTATGCTTTCCAAACTTATGGAGTCCATCATCGCTGATGAAGTCATGTGGTATCTGAAAAAATAACATAATAATACCAGAGCAGTATAGCTTCCGACAAAACGCTCATGCACTACGAACCTGCTAGTTGCACGCAACAAGTTGACTGAAACAGTTGACGGTGCAACAGGAGTTGATGTCATTTACCTGGACGTCTCAAAAGCGTTTGATCGCTTAGACCATCGAATTCGCCTCCATAAACTTCAGCACTATGGCATTGGTGACCCATAGCTGCGCTGGATAGGCAATTTTCTGCACGAACGTTGGTTGGAGCTGAGAGTACGAGAATCCCTGTCCGACGCAATTGAGGTGGAGTGCGGCAAAGCACAAGGCTCGGTGCTCGGGCCTCGGCTATCTTTGATTTTATAAACGATCTGGCGAGGGAAATTACTTCAGATTTCCTATTATTCGCGGATGATTTCAAGTTATGGTGAGCGATCAGGGAACCGAACGACCACGAAAGTTCCAGTGTGACCCCATCACGATTTCAAAGTGGTCAGTTCTGAATACACTACCGTTAAATTTAAACAATTTCACGCTGTTCAATTGCGCCATGACTACGTGTATAGACTTGGGTCACATTTATTGCAATCAACTTCCCAAGAACGCGACCTGGGTGTGCTCATTCAAAGTGACCTTAACTGTTCGAAGCAGTCAGAGGCAGCTGCGAAGAGAGCCAGCCAGCACGTCGGCTTGCTGTGAAGAGCATTCGGAAGTTTCGACCCATCCATCTTCCCTATGATGCACAACTCTCACGTGCGCCCTCAGGTTGAATACGCCATCCAAACTTGGCAACCTTGATTAAAGCACAACTTAGAACTGCTAGAGAAACCACAAGGCAGGGACACAAAGAACGTCAAGGACCTACGAAATCTGTCTTGCCATCAAAGACTGAAGTCACTGAGAGTTTACAGTGGTCGTTACCGAAGGGTGCGCGGCGATCTCGTACTAGTCTAGCAAATATTGGGTGACCGTAATCACCGATACGGTCACTTTCTGAAACAGTCATAACACCAATCTCAGAGATAACCCTCGGAAAT